TGTCGGATTCTCGTAAAATCAAGCAACTTCCTAATTAATAAGTATTATAAATGCGAATGTGAGTTTTTTTTGTTACTACCCATATACATATTGTTCAATCCAATCCAATACAATATATTGTTCAATCCTTTGTCCCCGCGCTATCTCAAGGAATGCTTTAATTACCTTCATAATTCGAATGCGTTATCTCTTAGGTCATCAGAAAATTTAACCCTAAAAATTCCTACCAATGACACGACCTTCTATGGTCGTTCTTTTACCGTCCAAGCTATACGCCTATGGAATTCTCTTCCAGTATCCATAAGACGAGCACAATCTATTAATATCTTTAAAAATCTTGTTGTGAATCACTATTTGTCGATGTAGCTGCATTTTTATCTCTGTTGACTGGACTAAACCTATATATGTGTAGTCTATGTATATATATGTAATGTGTATAGGTATATAATATATATGATGTGTATTTATGTATGTATATATACTTAATTCACAAATTCGTTTAAATCCCTTGTTTCTTTTACTGACACCGCCGACTCCAGCTTTCTTTCAATCCTCTCCATCCAAAGGTTGTCTGGAAGAAATCGCTTTTAGCGATAAGACCGCCCATTGAAGTACTCTTTTTTTTTTACAATTGTACTGTCCCTCATTTCTGTTCTGTGTTGTGGTGTTTTCAATAAAGTATTGTGTATTGTATTGTATACAGTACCCTTAGTACGAGTTTTACAATTACGAAAACTATGACAGTTTACGTGACGTCGCACGTACTGATTTTATTGTTTTCGTTTCAATACAAATAAACGGTGTTCAAATTCTATAATTAAACAATTTGCGTCTTCTTAAATTTTAAGTATATTGGTTTTCACCAAAATGGACATAGAAACATCATTTACCTCCTTACACGAACCCGGTTAGGGCATAGATTGCTATTGGGTTCGTGTAAGGATTTCAATGAAAAAAACACCTCTGTACACCTACATGAAAGGTAATAAATATTATTATTATTATTATCACACTCAGCTTTCCCTCGTGTGATAAACCCACATTCGTGTTTTAATAACCCAAATTATTCAACAGTTGCATAAATAACAATTATTCCCGATAACACAAAGGTACTGTACCCTTAGTACGACCGATTATCGAATTCGAATAGTTTGCGGGTCCGAAATGTCATTGTCAATTTTTGTATGAAAACTTGAACATTAGCGCAGCAAAGTACGTAACGAGAACTAAAAATCAGTACACATTTGACAATGACATTTCGGACTTGCAAACGTTTCGATAATGGTTCGTGCTAAGGATACTGATTGATGTAAATAACAGTTTGGTATACACCCCGGGAAACTTCTCGAGCAATGACCATAGACAAGGTAGCCTGCGCATTAGCATTTTTATATACATAAACGTCTACTGCGCAAGCAGATAAACATTCGCATTTTTATTTGTATTCGGAACAGGATATTTTTCACGTCATAAGGTTTACGTTATTATGCTAATTGTGGTATTTTCATGAGTCACATCAATGAAACAGTTTTATCCGTAAGTTTTCTACTAGCGAAGCTGGAATCAATAACCGGATTTAACTCTAACATGATGAATGTGGCGCCTAAAATCTGCAAATCTGATGTAACTCTTACAATCAAGACGATTCTAACGTCAACTCTCAAGCTAAATTTTATAATATGAACTTTAATGTTAATCATGTTTTTTTTTATTGTTTCGAAATGGCTTCGCACGGCTTGTGCATTTAGCCAATGTTAAGTGTTAAAATGTTTACAAATATTATAGCACTCGTGGTCAAAGTAATAAATCAAGTCAAAGTAAGTGGTAGTCAAGTCAATCCCCCTTTCCCTATGTTTCAGTAAAAGTGTGGGGAATTACTGGAACCTCCCCGTGGACTTCTTGAGGGAACGTCGAAAAACACTTTCCGCTATTTTGTTTCACTTGCCAACACTTGTTCATGATCTCGAACACTTAGTGGTTAATAATCCACCATTATTAGACATTAACATCCGCCACAACACAATTTTTAACAAGAAAAACAAAACTGCTAAAGTGACACTTCCCGCTCCCGCCAAAAAGTCTTAATCAGGGTTATATTTTGTTTTCTTTTTTTTTCATTTTAGGGTTCTCTGCATCCTATGGTTGTCTGGAAGAAATGGCTACATAGCCATAAGACCGCCAATGGTCCACCTTTTTAAATTATTGTCCTAACTTTGTACTATTGTGGTGTGTTCAATAAAGAATTATCTATCTATCTAAAATCAATTAAGCCGTTTAATCCACCGAGCGACAAAAGAAATATAAAACACTCTAAAACCAGACCCTCGTTCTTGCGCAATAGGGATCATCATCAGGGATGTTGGTGAGGTAAGTTCATCCCTGAACTTACCTCACCAACATCCCTGAACGGGTTGTTCATTGAACTTTTTTATTCATCTATCACGTTTATTATCAAAAAGTATTGGAAATGTATTTCCTGTTTTCACATTATTAAAACATGACAGAGATATATTGATTTGAAATGTTGCATGCATGACGCCATGTCTTGGCTTAAAACCACCACAATCATCACTAGGATCTAGTGTATTTAAATTTTTAGCCCCTGATTGGAAAAATCACACTTGATATGAACAATATAGGAAACATACAATCTCGCTGTTATAGAACCCCCCTGCTCTACCAATGTGGCAACATTACGTTAATGTTCATAAGAGTTGTTTATTTCTTGCTATACCATTTAGAGTGAAGCTATTTTTGACGTTTGGCAGTTAAAACACAATCCGGGTGGCATAAAGAAACCCGCGCATGAGGGTGTTTGTAAACATACTGCGATTACCAGAAAAGATATTATGAATGAGCCGAGAAAACATTCAATGTTAAGTGCGGGAACAGTTTTGTTGAACTTCCAAAAATAAACGTAATGTTTACCCAGTAAAGTATGATTTATATTAAATTGTGTTGTGCCAAAGTCCACGACGACGCCCACGCTTTCTTAAAAGTTCTTATGAAGTTTAGAATTCGCGCCCTTAGTCACGCATTGTCTTTACGTCATAGTAGCAGAGAGGATAATCCTCAATGATTTGGAGTGTCTATGTCGCATCTACAGCGTCACCGGGTTTGGGATGGAGATTTCTTTAAGCGCAACCGCACATTGTGCTACTAACATCCGGTTTCTGAAACGCATGTCAAATATTGAATTAGTTGACAGACTGTCATAATTAACTATTTGTTGAGCAACTGTGGGTTTCTGAAAAGCTATTTACCGAAAAATTAACGAATCTACTGTTAAGGCAGGATTTATTTATTAGTCTGGCCACCCTAGCTAAAACCAGTCACTTTCATTCGATCATTCATGTTTTGTTTCTGTCTAACGCATAGCTTTGTCTCTATCTTTTGACAACTTATAAGTGACTTTTATTTAGAAGACAGAAAAATAGAAGCGATTGTGTGTACCGAAAACATTGAAATTTATTTTCATTTGTAAAGTTTTTACATAATATGTCACGAAAAAACTATACGGAGCGAGAAAAGAGGGAGCTTTTAACAATAGTGGATAAGTAAGTACCTAATAGGTACAAATCAGTTGTTCAAATCAAGCTTTCTAATCTATACAAAGAAACCGATCTGCTTTTGGTATTTAAAATTTGTAAATATATTGATAATATATATTTCAATGTAGGTACAAAGAAATAATAGAAAATAAGTCTACCAATGCAGTGACGGTGGAAAAAAAACGTGACTTGGAAAGAAATTGAAGAATTTAGAAATAAAAATTAAAGAATTGGAATTTACTTCTAAAGCAAATAAAAAGTAAAATAATTATAGTGTTAAATCTGATATAAACTACAATATAAAGATGTTTGTTTGTTTGTTTGAACGCGTTAACACCAGGAACTGCTGAACTGAATTGAAATATTCTTTTTATGTTGGGTTAGCCATAATTGTAGGAAGGCTTTAGTGTACAATAATTGTTCGTTTTAAGTTCCAGGTGTGTCAGTTTTCCCATTAGTTGATGGAAAACAGATTTTGAAATCCTGTAGCGATCCTTAAATTCTTCATCATTGTAATGAATTACAGGATTTATTCGTTTCTGGAACTGGCGAGTTGGTGCCAGATCTTCCTCGTCACTAGATAGGGATATATCGTCAACAGATAAATCTGACAACATTTTTTCAACAATCCTCTGACCAAAATATCAGTAAAATTTCTTTTGACAGTCTGTTAATTGATAAATTTTCACCAATTACTTATTAAAACACAACAAAACGTTAACATGCAGTTAACATACAAAAAAGCTTTCCGGAAACCAAAAGCTACCGCAATCGGCCATTAATTCGAGATTTGACATTTGCAACAACAAATCATTGACAAACTGTCACTTGGCTCATTGAGAAACCCAAAGTGCATTTAAATAGAGATTAACAATTTGTTACGTAATTTTTTCGATGACATGCGTTTCAGAAACCGGGTGTAAGTGGCGGCCACTAAACGGCGACCACAAGCTGCGGATGAGTTTTTTCACACATTTTGTATAGTATCGGCATAAACTAAGCGATCGAGTGGCCGTGTTCTAGCCACAAGCTGTAGGAGTCGCCTGATCTCGCTACTTGTGGCCACGTTTTGTCGCTCGCATCGCGCGCACACTCGACCACAGTACTCCAATGAATTATATGTCAATAGTTTTGAATTCGACGAAGTGTCTACGTTTCCTAGTCTTTCGTCGTTTTCGTTAATCAAAAACAACGAAATTACTAGTGTTTCCATTTCACAAAAGTGGCGGCAACTAGTGACTTTAAGACATTAAGTCAGTTTGCGCTAGGATTTCCAGATGTAGAAGTATCTGGCAATCGTAGCGCAAACTGACACTGCAGTCCTCGCTAAAAAACTCATCAACTCAAAAACAGGGTTAGCGTATAGTTATCTGTAGAAATGATCCTTGTCTACTGCTTAATTTGGTGTCAAGACATTGTATCTAACGTTGTCCCAATTTTTGTTCGCAGGTGCTGGAATGCAAATCAAAACGCACAGGCGCCAGAAGGGCTCTGAAAGTCCTCCACGACAGTGCCAAAGCCAGAAGGGAGGTGGAGTTGCACTGGAGGGCCAGTGGGTGCATCCACATAGTCGAGGTATTTATGATTATCAAAATCAAAAATTGTTTATTCACTTTAGGCTTTTACAAGCACTCATGAATGTCCAGAAGCTACGCCATCGGTTCGTAAATCTACGGCAGGAGAGATTGTACTGAGAACTTGCCGGTTCAGTAAGAAACTCAGCAGGGGCTGTTTTTTTTCTCCCTTCATTATTATTATAGAGGCGTCAACTTAAAATATGACTTCAATAGGAGATGTTTCATGAAGTCTCCTTCCATACATAATGTGAAATATACAATAATTTTTCACTTGCGTTTGATTGCTTTGATGATGAAATAACACATGTACTTAGTTATATTTAAATCTCCAGCATTTTTTTCTGTCTGGGTAATGTCTTTACGTGTCCTTCAGCCACAGGGCGAGCAGGAAGAAGGTATCCCGGTCTTCGCCCTGCCCATTTCATCCAGCTCTATGGCTCGATTAAATGAGCTGGGCCTTTCCAGTAAAAACCAGACAATACTCATGAACCGGTCAACCGCACGTATTTTCAGGGCTGAAGTCCACACAATGTGCACCGGGAGTGCGAGTGTGGTTGCGGCACCCTTTTACGAATGCACTCGCAAGGTCCATCATCACCACCAGCCTATGAATGTCTCCACTGCTGGGGCACAAGCCTTCCCTAAAGATAGAATATGGACAATAGGCTATGATCACACGAGAAAAACAAAATGCGTTAAGTTTACTCTACCTAATGTGAGGCAGGTTAATACTAGTATAAAAATAAATGACCAGCCTGTAGAGTTAGTGGATTCTGCAAAGTTTCTGGGTATTACTTTGGACTCTCGTCTGCAATGGGATCCTCATATTGATGCCTTGTCAAGTAGACTGAGCTCTGCAGCTTTCGCTGTTAAAAAAATAAGACTTAACTGATGTGGAAACGGCAAGATTAGTTTACTTTGGTTACAACAACAACGGTTAGAACAAGCTTGCCGTTCCATGTTTCAGACTCCAAAAATCAAGAGGTTCATTTCTGAGTTTTAGTATTGCATTGTTTAATAAAGTTCCCTTAGATCTGATTGAGCTTCCACTGACAAAATTTAAATCTCAGATCAAATACTCTTATGAATAAGGGCTATTATAAAGTTGATGATTATCTAAATGATCGTAATGCATGGACATAGTGTTTCTTGTAATTTGTTATTTGATGGGTATGAGTCATTTTTCATAACAGTAATATTGTACCTATCTAATGCCGCCTCCTATATACAAAATATAATGTTAACTATAAAATTTATTGTAACTATATATTTATATTCTAAATGATGTAATGGAAGGTGACTTCAGACGTATCTCTGAAGTCATTTTTCAACTGACGACTCTGTATATAACAATACAGGGAGAAAAAAACAGCCCTTGCTGAGTTTCTTGCCGGTTTTTTCTCAGTACAAGGTCTCCCGCCGTAGTTTTGCGAACCGATGGCGTAGCTTCTTGACCTTCACAAGTGCTTGTAACAGCCTAGACTGAATAAATGACTTTTCCTTTCATTTTCATTTCATTTCATTGCCCAGCCGGAACCAACGGCTTAACGTGCCTTCTGAAGCACGGAGGAGCTGATAAGTTTTTGGTCACCCATCCTAAGGCAGTGCATTGCTAAAGTTGCTTTACTTCCACGATCTCAGATCACAGACTTAACGGGCTAAACACCTGCGCCATTGAGCTCCTCAATTATTGTCATTATTCTTATTTATTAACCCCATTTAAGATTTTATCTCCACCCAGTTCAGCGTTTTGGACGGGAAAAACATAACTTACAGAACATCAAAATCTAGGTGTAGTTATTACTCAAACTCGGGCGGCATAACAACAGACCGATGCTCGTTTGTCTTTTTAAGATATTTTTTCGTATCATTAGTGACTAAATGACCCGTGAACCAACGAAACAATGACGTGAGTATGACAGACGTTAAACATAGTCTGAGGTCGTGTCATCTGTCTTTGCAATGTCAATTGCGCACTTACACTCAAGGAACATATTCTTAATTTTGTTTGTACCAGTATATATATATAAAACTCAAAGGTGACTGACTGACATAGTGATCTATCAACGCACAGCCCAAACCACTGGACGGATCGGGTTGAAATTTGGCATACAGGTAGATGTTATGACGTAGGCATCCGCTAAGAAAGGATTTTGATCAATTCTACCCCGAAGCGAAGCGAGGGCGGGGCCATTAGTTTAGGATAAAGAAGGAGAGCCTAGTGGATTTTTTGCTTAAATTGGAGCTCCCGTCTAGGGAAGTAACCTCTACCTTACAGAGGACTTCAGTAACACTACCTTTTGGTAATGTTTTTTGTCTGTGAGAAAGGTTAAGTTAAGGTAAGTTAGGGTTCCAGGCCTAAACGGGGTAGGGAATTGGGTCAAGTTCAACGTTTACGTTTAATCCGCTGAATCGGTTTAGATTAAATTTGGTATAGAAATGGTTTCAGTCCCGGATAGTTTTTAACCCAGAATTCAACCTTTAAAGGGGTATATGGGGGGTAGAATTTTGTATGAAAAATCAATATTTCGAGAAAGTTGCAGGTACCCACTAGTATGTGACATATATGTATATATAGCCGCTGAATGCGGATAGCGCAGGACCGCGCATTGTGGCGTTCTATGGGGGAGGCAGTGGACGGAGAAAGGCTGATGGATGGATGATGTATATACATGTAATCCCCTAGTATCTCATAAAACAAACCTTACAGTGCTTACTTTAAAACTAGGCTAATTGGTGTGACTGTTAGAAATATCTATTTTGTTATATAACAAAAAAAAACTCTTTTCCCCAGATCATAGATGTTTACGACAACACGTATGGCGGCAAGAGATGTCTGCTCGTCGTCATGGAGTGTATGGATGGTGGGGAACTGTTCCAAAGGATACAAGACAACAGAGAGGGTGCCTTCACTGAAAGACAAGCTGCTGAGGTAAATTGATCCTTTAAATCTAAAAGAAAATTTTACTAGAAAAAAATCCACGCGGACCAGGCAGCAGACGGAACTCGAACCTACCGTTTCCCGTCATTGAGAATGTAGGTAACCTTAATTAATTATAATAAAATAAATATGTAATAGGGTATTTGACAGTATTAAAAATAAAGTGTCAATTGTTAGCTTCTGTGTTTAGAATGAATATTGGCAGGGGTTTTTAACCTTGTTAACGCTTGGGACGCCTAAAATGACGTCACACGCAAGTAAACTTCCGGTTAAAGTGACATTATATTGTATCGTTTGACGTTTTAATAACAGTCGTGTGACGTCACACACTAGTAAGACGCCATTTTTTCCAGAGAAACGTTTCCGCGGCAACTTGTAAATGGAGTTTTTGATTCGGTTATTTTTACTGAAATACACAACAGAATGATGAATATCCATCCTTTTTACGGACTCCATAAGCATTTTTCAATAACGTGAGATCGTTTTCTAAAACTTGTCAAATACCCTATTGTCTAAAAGAACAGTCTCATCGTAGTTGGCACTGCCTGCACCTTGGTTGGATGTAAATATATTAATCAATGCACTGGTCGACTCCATCGCATCTTTTAGCGAGCGAGATGGTATTGTCCTGGTAGGCGCTTTAATATAAATCTTCTTGTCAGGACAGACTTACCAGCTAGTCAAAGAACCCACACACTTCACAGGTCACAGTGGCAATTTGATTGACGTTGTGTGCTCCGATATTAAGGCTCTCGGGGTTCAGGCAGGCTTGCCAGATGCTGGCTTACCCAGAATTAAAACCCTTTATATATAAAGAAGCCATAGCTTCTGTCGCCCCTCGCAGCCCAATCCCAAATACATCGCTGATGTATGTAACGTGGGTATATTTATAGTAATATTGTGAAAAAAAAACTGACATTCGGAGATTCCGGGGCAATTTGGCCTAATTACTGGACACGGGGCAAGACGCAAAAATCCGGGACAATCTCGGATTTCCCGGCCATCTGGCAAGCCTAGGTTAAGGTGAGGCGTTCTCCGGACCTAGGTAGGCACGGTATGGTAGTGGGCGATTTAAAGTGAAAGGTTAAACCATCTCCCCGCTGGGTAACATACAGGCCACTAAAGAATAATGTTGCAGAGATTTTCGACAGCGACACTTCTTCTGTACTGAACTGGGGATAGTTTAAGGAACATAGTGTCGAATGCCTAGCAAGAATATTCACTCATTATGTCAGGGCGATTTTCGATTTAGATGCCCCAATACAAACGCGACAGTTTAAACTAAAAACTTTCCGATTATCCATATTTTGGCCATAAGAATATATAAGTCGTAAGGTCTGGCAGTCTTGGGATCTTGTACTAAAAGTTTTATTTGCCAAGCTAATACAATACCAACACTTTGTTTAATAAATGACTTCTATCTGTGTGAAAGACCTTTGGCAACCATGATGAATATAATTTTCATTATGACGTAACTTTGTAACAAGTGTGAATAAAACATCTTATTGAAATCATGTTGGCTTCGAAGCAAAAGTTGCATGAAACATTTGGTAATAGTACAAGTTTTCTTTACTAAGAACACGAAAAAACATTAACATATCTAATATATAAAGTTCTCGTGTCACGGTGTGCGTAATTGAACTACTCCGAAGCGGCTCGGCCGATTTTTGTAAAATTTTGTATGCATATTCAGTAGGTCTGAGAATCAGACAACATCTATTTTTCATGCCCCTAAATGTTAAGGGTGGTCCACCCTTAAATTTTGTTTTTGAACCATTTTTTGTTTTTATTTCGTCATACAAAAATACATACAACCCTAAATTTTCACCCTTCTACCACCAACCCCTATTTGTTTATGGCGGTACGAAGTTCGCTGGGACAGCTAGTATTTATATAATAAAATATGTATTTTTGTCTGTGTTAGATACTTAAAGAATACGCATTTTTTTGCTATAAATACTTTTTTTGAAGGAATCATCGCATCGCAACATTCCGCACTGTGTCATTGCCTTTATGTGTCTCCGCTGTACGCATGCGCAGAAACTGAGATTGTTTTTATGTTTGTTAATCTACCTACATTTTTAAATTGTTCGTGGAAACGAAGTCATATTTTTTTTGTTATTTAAGCCTTTTGTATTTTCTCTGTGAGTGGATTTTTTGTAAATTCTTTTGAGAAAATCAATGTCTTTAACAGTATCTTGGCTTCAGAACCCTAAAAGCGGTCCTAAAAGTTATTTAACAAAATTGTAGATACATATTATATATTCTCCCTCACCAAAGGCAATAATTTATGCTTCGAGCAATTATTGACTATTCACAATGTAACGTATAAATCGTTTCGAGTTGTTCACTTGCAGTATACAGTCCGCTTTTGGAGACATTTTCTGCCTCTCACCATAGAAAGTATGTACATTATGGAATTTTTCATTAAGAGCATGAAAAAATAGTCTGCGATAACCGCTTACCAGCTTATAAGGAGCTCGATGGCGCAGGTCGTTAGCGCGTTCGGCTGCGTTCATTGAAGTTAAGCAACTTTCGCAGTGGTCGGTCATTGGATGGGTGACCAAAAATCTTCTACCTCGAGTTTCTTCGTGCTTCGGAAGCCACGTTAAGCCGTTGATCCCCGCTGCATCTGCAGTCGTTAGCACCCATGGCCATGGCCCAATCTCCCTATTCCATCCATAGGGTAGGCCACTATATGCCACCATTTTGAGTTACCTGAGAAACTTTGAAATCCTGTAAATAAAATTTGTGCAAACATTTATGGACAGTAAACGTACACCACCCCCATACAAAAATAGTCTTATATATAAAATTCTCGTGTCACAATGTTAGTTACCATACTCCTCCGAAATGTACTGACCGATTATTATGAAATTTTATATGCATATTCCGTGGGTCTGAGAATCGGCTACTATCTATTTTTCATATCCATAAGTGATAATGGTTGTCCACCTGTAACGTAGTGTTCCTAAACCGCGCCTTCGCGCCAAAATTCAAACTATTGGGTATTGTAACGTAGTGTTCTCATATGGGTTAGGAGGAATGTTATCCCAGGAAATTGATAAAACACTACGTTACACACCCCTAAATTTTTTTTGGACAATATTTATTATTTTATAATGTGGTATTAAAAATACATACATCCCTAAATTTTTTCATCATTATATATCGCTGGGTCAGCTAGTGATTTATAACAATCACAAAATATTTTGAAACGGTAAAAATTATAAATAACACATCTGTTATGAAATTATTATCAGTTTTCAGTACGTAGATATTATAAGTAATTAATTTATTTGAATCAATTTATGATTATTAAATTGTTAAGGTTTCATAAAATAATTGCACAATTAGTGATTACACGTAGAAATTTTTTGAAAAAAAAAAATCTTTTTTTGCTGTAATCTTTATAAATTAAATCGTTATCTGAATTAGCTAGTAAGATTTCTCAGGTGACTCAAAATTCACGGTGTATTATAAGCGATCTTGAAGTATCTAGTTTTTAGCTGTAATCTCTTCTCGCTGACCGCTGGCGATAGAATCAATCAATCAATCAATCAAAATCATTTATTCAGTTTAGGCTGTTACAAGCACATATGAATGTCTAGAAGCTACGCCATCGGTTCGTAAATCTACGGCGGGAGACCTTGTACTGAGAAGAACCGGCAAGAAACTCAGCAAGGGCTGTTTTTTTCTCCCTGTTTTATCATTTACAGAGTCGTCAAGTTGAAAAATGACTTCAGAGATGATTCATGAAGTCACCCTTCATTACATAATGTGAAATTATACATTAATTGTACACCTGCATTTTGATTGCTGTGTCACACAGTATAAATACAAACAGAGTTATTTATAATAGGTGTAATTAAACATTTATATCTTAAATATCAAAGTAGTTAGGGCAGACTCATCTCCGCTGGCAGCACCCGTTCACGAGCATGACGCACGAACCAGCCATCGCTTCGCTCAACCATATTTTAGGGAACGTAACGACCCGCCTCACACGACACCACCGAAGAGACTTTTAAGAGAGCATGACTACCCATAACCACCTATATCAACCACAACATATTTACTTAAACTTAAAGTCATTTATCTGTAGGACACTGCAAACAATTACAAAGCAAAAACAATGGAGAAATCATGACCACGCCGTTTTGTCATTCAAATCTTCTTAAATAGTCTGATATTCTTCCTTACGTAATCAGCTTTAAATACAGCTTTTCAATAAAAGTATCATCAACACATGATCCATAATATATATCATATAGAAATACCCGTTGGAATGGTTGGAACAGTTCAAACCCAAGCATTTTTGTCTGTAATATAATCAGACACTTTATAATAAGCATTCTTAATAAGAGTTTTTTTAATAGTCGATTTAAATTTAGTCAGGCTCAACTCTTGAATATTGCTTGGGACTTTATTGTAAAAGCGAACACAGAGGCCTCTAAACGAGTTATTAATTTTGTGGAGCCTAGTAGCAGGTAAAGTTAACTTATTTTTACTTCTAGTATTAAGTGTATGTATTTCACTATTTTTAGTAAATAAACTAATATTTTTTTTGACATATACTAAGTTTTCATATATGTATTGTGATGCAACCGTCATTATGCCTATTTCTTTAAACTTATTTCTTAAAGAGTCCTTAACTTTAAGATTATAAATTGATCGAATAGCCCGCTTCTGCAACACAAATATTGTTTGAATATCGGCGGCATTTCCCCACAGTAAAATACCGTAAGACATTACACTATGAAAATAACTAAAATAGACTAATCTGGCAGTTTCTATATCCGTTAACTGACGTATTTTCATTACAGCATATGCTGCAGAGCTAAGTCTCTTCGACAATTTATCAATATGTGGGCCCCATTGCAACTTTGAATCTAGTGTGATTCCTAAGAACACTGTGGTATCTACAAGGCTCACATTTCGATCCTTTATATTTACATTCGTTTTTACCTGTTTAACATTAGGTAAAACAAATTTCAAACACTTAGTTTTCCCTTCATTTAGCAGTAAATTATTAACGTTAAACCAGTGGACTACCTTAGAAATAGACTTGTTCACGTCGTCAATTTGCGACTGCCTACGTTTAATTTTAAACAAAAGTGAAGTGTCATCCGCAAACAATACTATTTCATGGTTATCCTTTACAAAATAAGGCAAATCATTGATATAAATTAAAAATAAGAAAGGACCAAGGATTGAGCCCTGCGGAACTCCCATCTTAACCGACGAACCAGGAGATTTTTCTCCATTGATGTCAACCCTCTGAACCCTATCACTCAAATATGATACAATAAGATCCAGAGTGGTGTCTCTAAATCCATAGTGCTGTAGTTTCCTGATCAATGTTTCATGAAAAACGCAATCGAATGCCTTTGATAAGTCGCAAAACACACCAAGTGCATCATGCGAGTTCTCCCAGGCATCAAAAATTTGCTGTACAAGCTCAACACCGGCATCGGTTGTTGAGCGACCCCTTGTGAAACCAAATTGTTTACTATGCAGAAAGTTATTACTATAAAAATATGATTGCATTTGATCTAGCATAATCTTTTCAAAAATCTTACTAAAGGTGGGTAGCACGGATATGGGTCTAAAATTTGTGGGGTCAGATGTGCTACCCGATTTATGCAATGGAGTTATTTTACTATGTTTCATTAGATCAGGAAAAACACCACAGTCAACACATTGATTAAAAATGCTAGCCAGAATAGGAGCTATTGTCTCAATTACTGATCTAGAAACATCCACGGAGTTACCCCACAGATCCGCGGTTTTCTTTTTATTCAATTGGTTAAAATATTTGATTATGTCTTTAGAGTTAACATATTTAAATTTAAATTGACTAGTACCTTGTGTTATGTTTTCTTTTAATATTGATTCAGCAGCAATGGGGGAGGAGTCCAAGGATTTTGTAGTTGAAACTGGAATATCAGTAAAAAAATTCTCAAATGCTGTAGCAACTTCCGTATCTGATGTAACATTTCTATTTTCAATGTTTAAATTAAAGCTGGTATTTCGAGATTTAGATTTTCCAGTTTCATTGTTTATAATGTTCCATGTCATTTTAATTTTGTCATTACTATTCTTAATCTTACAACTTAAATAATTTGATTTAGCTGTGCGACATACCTTTTTAAATAACTTAGAATAATTACGTACATACTCTCTGAATCTTTCAGTAGTATTAATGCTGCGTTCATTGTATAGTTCATAAAGTTTTCTTCTACTGTTATGTATGCCTGGGGTGGCCCACTCACTGAAGGTTACTGCATCACTAACACATATGGTTTTGGGAACGAAGACTTCATTAAATTCTTTACAAAATATATTAAAAAAATCATTATACAACTCATTTGGACTGTCTTTATACTTTAAATAACTCAACTTCCTATCTAATTGAATTTTAAAACGCTGTATACGATTAACTGATTTTGGCACAATAGTGATACATTTCTTGGTTACATTTTTATTTGGATGTGGAAAAGTAATCAACTGACCACAATGATCACTATCTAGTTGATTAACGATTCTTTTTTTATGTGGTATTATATCCGTATAAATATTGTCAATACAAGTGGCCGAAGTGGCCGTTATTCTAGTAGGCTCCATGAACAAGTTTTCCAGATTATATGATTGAAATAGATTTCTTAATTTTATACTCAAACTAGAGGTTTCTAATAGATTAATATTAAAGTCACCACAAACAATTAATTGTTTACCAGTGATGACAATTTTTTTTAAAGCTTCATCCATAATTTCTTCAAAACAATCATACAATGCTGAAGGAGGTTTGTATACACTCAGTACAATAAGCCGGTCCAGTTCCACACAGGCGATTTCTATTGTTCGCTCAACCGAGAGGCTCACAATATCTTTACGTTCCTTAAATTTAAGTGTATTATTTAATAAAATTAAAGAGCCACCGCGAATTGCATTTTCTCGACTGAACGAACTACCAACCTGATGATTATTAAAATTAAACATGAATTGATGACTTTTAAGCCAATGTTCTGTGATACAAAATATATCTATATTGTTGTTTTGTGAATTCTAACTAACACTGACGCTCTTTCCAGATAATGCATTCCATATGCGTGGCAGTCCGGCATCTACACGACTCCAACATAGCTCACCGGGACATCAAACCCGAGAACCTCCTGTACACCAGCATGGAGCCGAACGCGGTTCTTAAACTCACTGACTTCGGTTTCGCGAAAGAGACTTTGACACCCGCTGACACATTGCAGACGCCTTGCTATACGCCATACTATGTCGCACCGGAGGTAAGAATTATTATATGTATATATATATATATATATATTCTAACACTCATACCACTTAGCCTAGCCCCCAAGTAAGCACTGTAAGGCTTGTGTTATGGGATACTAGGGAAACGGATAGAATACATATATTTGATACATGTATAAGTATCGTGTGTAACGATCGTTGAAGTTAAGCATCTTTCGCAGTGGTCGGTCATTGTATGGGTGAACAAAAATCTTCTATCTCGAGTTCCTCTGTGCTTCGGAAGGCACCTTGAAACCCGGCGTTGGATTGGATGGGTGACCATAACTTATTATCTCGAGCTCCTCTGTGCTTCGAAAGGCACGTTAAGCCCCGCTGGGTTAAATCCGCACTTGGTCTGCGTGGTCGGTCACAACCCAATCTCCCTATTCCATCCATAGGGAAGGCCTGTGCCCCAGCAGTGGGGACATTAATAAGCTGTTAAGATGGTAAATTATTTAAATTTTACTAGAAGAAAATCCGGCGGACGCACTAGCCAATTCTTCTAGCGAAACTTAAATAGCCGTGTCTAATTTCATCAAGTATATGTAAGGCTACAAGACGGCGCTATGTCTTCGTAATTTACATAACCATAATAACCATTGATTGCCTATAATAATACGAACGAATATTCTTTAAACATGTAGCAGTCAAATGCTTCAGAAATAAAAAAATATAAAGGTATTCATTAACATTGTGGGTTACATACAATGCGAAGAGATGGCGCTACCTTGAAGCATAAGAAATACTAGAAAGAATTCGACACTGCATCATAATGGTCAGTGCATCCGCCCGGATAGCGGAGGGTGCGGGTTCGAGTCCCGGCTGGTGCCTAGTTAGTTTTTCTTGTTTTAATGGTTTAACTAAATGCCTGGCCAGATTTGAATGAGCAGGGTGTTAGATTAAGAAGGATATTATTGGCTCCGATTTTTATAACTCTTGTTTGTAGTCAAAAGATCTCTTAGATCAATAAGGTTTTCGCAGAACTACAGCAATATCTTTCATATAGGTACTCGATGAAACTACTTCTTTATTTAATAACTAGCGCCCGCCCGCGACTTCGTACGCGTGGAGTTATAATGCGATTCAACTAAGAATAGGACCGACTGGGCGCCATATTTTGACGTCATAGCTGTCAATTCAAACCAAATAGTTAGAGTGAGCAAAAAAAAAGTTTCTTTTTAATAAAACTTATTTACTTAGATTAAGTGAGAAAAAACATGAGATTTTTTAATAAAATAATTTACTAAGATTGAGAGAAAAACAAACGATTTTTAATAATATTTCTTAATTAAGACTGTGTGAGAAAAAACATTAATCAGAATCTAGCTCTTCAATTTCGCTCAGCTCTGCATTACCGCAGGAGTAGTTATGATAGTCATGCAGGTCACATACGAACATGCATCCTATATGTAAACGAAAGTTTAAAATCGAGTTTCTGAACGCAACATAAATAAAGTGACATTTGGTTGACGAATTAGGTTATCAACCATTCATAGCCAAAGCTCAATAAATGAAAAAAATATATCAGCAAATATTAATTATCAATATTTGTTTTTGTTTGTTTAAAATTTAAAAAATGTTTGATTTTTATTCTAGAATTAGCTGAGTGCTAAAAAAGTGTTCCGAGATTTTTTTGCTAACTGTACTTTTCAAGCGATATTTGACAGATGGAGGTTTGCTTTCCTATTCTTATTTGAATCGCATTTTAGTTAGAAATAAAGGTTTACAGCTCGTTCCCCGTAGGTGATAGCGTGATAATATGTAGCCTATATGTTGACCCGACCTTAATAATATTCGAGCCAAATTTGTAGTAAATCCATGCAGTACATTTTTAGTTTATCCCGGACATACATAGAGAATAACAGACAAAAATTCTAAAAACTATATTTTTGGCTTCGGTATCGATTGTAGATCAATGTACAGTTTTGACTTTCCTACCATTTTATTATATGTATAGATTATTAAAGTCGATAAAATATATAAATGTCCAGGCCATTGAACTCATCTCAGGTCAACGATTACGTTACAAAACATTGTGATAATAACTATATTTATGAGATGTAGGTATATTTTTTTAATTACTGTGTAACACGACAGACATAAATCGTGTTTAATTATTAAAACATTGAATTCAATTGCTTTATACGATAGTGTATTTAATAGTATTAAAAATAAAGTGCCAATTGTTAGCATCTGTGTTTAGAATGCATAATTCTTGGCTAGGATTTTTACTATTTTTACAAAAAAATATTCATAATTGTACTAAAAACCCACGAAAAAGATAATAGTTTTTTTATCTAATTGTCACGTGACCCAACACGCTTGGGATTGGCGAACCCTAAAATGACGTCACACGCAAGTAAACTTCCGGTTAAAGTGACATTACATTGTATCGTTTGACGTTTTAATAACAGTCGTGTGACGTCACACACTAGTAAGACGCCATATTGTCCAGAAAAACGTTTTCGCGGCAACTTGAAAATGGAGTTTTTGATTTGGTTATTTTTACTGAAATAAACAACAGAATATCCACTTTCTACGGACATTAGTCAATAACGTGAGATCGTTTTCTAAAACTTGTCAAATACCCTATTTCGTGTATATGTCGCCTCCATCCGGGTAAATTAGCAAACCAATTAGACGCCTAGGCTGTTATTTAAACGCCGACATTACAATAATGCATCAATAATAAATGAAATTTAAAAAATAAACATTAAGAATCGAAGTGCTTTTTAGGGTAACGTACCCGATGGGTACAAACGTGACCCTATTTCTGACTTCACTGTCCGTCTGTCTGTCACCAGGCTGTAATCTCATGAACCGTGATAGCTAGATAGTTGAAATTTTCACAGATTATGTATTTATGTTGCCGCTTTAACAAAATAATACTAAAAACAGAATAAAATAAAAATTTAAAGGTTCCCATACAACAACCGGAATACGGCGCCTATCACTTTAAAAAATATTCGCAGAATATTAATTTGTATTTTCACTTTGAAAATAAATATTCAAATTGGATGCAAATTCATATATTATTTTCATATTATATTTTGTCCATATTTTTTCCCCTGCCACAAGGACATTTTTTATTAGAAATATTTCAGGAAAGTGCCCATACATGATCATCAGTCTTTTAATGTCCCCACTGCTGGGGCACAGGCCTTCCCTATGGATGGAATAGGGAGCTGGGGCCATGACTAGTCCAGTGCGGATTGGTGGGTGCTAAGGACTGCAGATGGAGCCGGGACCGACGGCTTAACGTGCCTTCCAAAGCACAGAGGAGCGCGAGATAGTAAATTTTTGGTCACCTATCCAATGACCGACCACTGCGAAAGTTGCTTAACTTCAACGATCGCAGCCGAACGCGCTAACCACTTGCGCCATCGAGCTTCTCGAGCTCCCATACAACGACATGATTATTTGCCATTTTGTGCTCGATAATATAATATTGTGTCAGTCATTTGAATACAAACTACTGGAGGGTGCACGTAACATCCCTACTTAATGTCTGACGCGCTCAAATATTTCTTTTCCTATATCATATGATATACAGTGGAAACCGGATATAACGACATTGAAGGGACCATATAACTTCGGACGTTATGTCCGGTAGTTGTTATAAGCAATATACAAAAGTAATCATATTAATGTCATATGTATGTATGTAGTATGGTTATAGATAATGAATTGCTTGTTTTCTGAATATATGCTTGTTTTCGTATAAAATATCAAAAAAAGAAGTAATAAGTTTACTATGAAAAAATGGAAGTACCTACAGTATATTTTGTTTTGATGGAACAAGTAAAATGGTTAGTCGTTATAGCCAATGAATATGGATATGAACTTTATCAATATTCATTAGCTATAAATCGTTGTAAGCGGTATTTCCGGTGTTGTTTTAGGCGTCTTTTTTACTTAAGAGTTTATATAGGGTTTCGGTCGGGACCTTGCCAATTGGTCGTAATAACCGACAAGTCGTTATAAACGATGTCGTTATATTCGGTTTTGACTGAGTGTTTTTCCTATAAATATGCGTATTCAATTTTTTTCCACAGGTATTAGGACCCGAGAAGTATGACAAATCGTGTGACATATGGTCATTGGGTGTCGTCATGTACATATTGCTCTGTGGTTTCCCGCCTTTCTACTCGAATCATGGGCTCGCCATATCACCGGGAATGAAGAAGGTAAATATCTATATTATAGAGCTGAAAAGTTAGTTAGTTTGTTTTGTTTCAGGAACTACAGGTCCAATATGAAACATTATTTTTGTGTTGGATAGTAAATATATCGAGAGAGGCTATAGGCTATATCAAATGTGTACTGTTTTTAGTTCTCGTAACGTCCATTATGGCGCTGCTGTTCAAGTTTCCGTACAAAACTTGACATGCGTCACATGCGACACTCGGCGTCAAAAAAATCGCACCTCCGCAAAAATAAATTTCAAGGGTTAGAACCCTTAAGAGCCCTTTTACAAAAAAATTACGCCGCTGCCGTAGTGATCGGCGCGTAGGTAGATTTGCACTAGTATATAGTGCATTTTACGGGTGATGTTCCGAGTCTTATAAAATGATTATTAATGAACTAATTATAAAAATATATATACATATAATTTCAGTAGTTCAATGATGGTAGATTAGTTTTATGAAAGTTTTTGATAGTAATTCTATTTAATTCAATATCAAAATACGAGGTAAACCTGCATTGTTTTTCGGGAAAACTCAAGGAGGATAAATGTTTTTTTTGATAATTAATGAGATGGAAATTCAAAATTCTAATACACTATGTTACAACAAAAACTTATTTCTGATGTCGTAGTAATTAATTTAATCTAATTTATTGAACATTATTGAGAGATTGAGGCGTTTGAAGTTGTGCATAGTTTACGGAAAAACGATAATGTTTTTTCCGTAAACTAGCTGCAGTACAACGATCAGTACAAAGAAAGGAAAATAGTATTTGCAAATATTCTACATTAACTTACAATAGGAAGAATAAATCTACTGTTTACTTCTATTGGAAATAGACAAAATCTTTTCTAAGGGGGTAAACGAGGCGCTCAAAAATTTAGATTTTTTGCAAAAAATGTGAAAGGGCTCTTAAGGTAAAATTCCGCAATGGGCTGCAGGCGACACTACGGCTGACCGTGCATTATATGCATTGTGCAGCCTGCGGCATGTCGCCGCGCTCGGAATCAATTTTCATAGAGATTCATAGAAACTAGCAGTGTCGCCTGCAGTTAGGGTTAAAAGATGAAAAAATCAAAAGTCCGAAGAAAAGGCTTGATTTCCCCTGAAAAATCCTGAGATTTTTACAGTTTGAGAATTTTCTCTCATACGTACTTAACGATTTAGAAAAGTCGTAATATTATCGTTTATATACATGCTGCTTATACTTTTAATTCAATATAATTTGAAGAGCTTAACATGTGGGGCATTTTATAAATCCATAATTAAAGAAAAAACCTTACTTAAAAATGTATCATCACATATTAAAACGGATCAAGTACCTACTTGGATAAATAAGTACTGATATTAACTGTGCAATTATTATCAAAGGTTGACAAATCCTGAACTCTTTTTTTTTTTTGACCCGGAGAAATGCGTTACGCATACCCCGCCGCTGGGTAGGCGACGGGGTTATGTGGGACTCCTCCCTCCACCTCCCGCCCACCCACTCAGCCAACACTAGGGCTGGCTCAGTGGCTGCTCGGGATGGGGGGGGCCCTACCCACTAAAACTCCGGGATGTGCCCTCCTTGCCAGCGGTGGCGGCGTGGGGTCCTTACTGGGAATCAACCACGCCGCCGCCAGCTGGCCCGGCTGTTAGCCAGGCCACCTCACGATCGGGGGGATTCCCAGGCACATGGTGGGAATCCCCCCCAGACTGCGGTGCCGTACAATGCAGGAGCGGATTACCCTACCCGCGCCCACTGGCCCCGACTCAGGGTTGAAGGCTGCGGAGGTATCTCCGCATCCTTCGTCCTTTACGTCTGCGTCTAATTGGGTCCGCCTGTTCGTCTTGTTCGCGGGCCCGCTCCGCTGCCTCCTTTTGCGACATCACCTCTTCGCAAAAGGAGGGAGATATGGTAACCCTACCTGCAATCTGCAGCTGCGGTTCAGTTCGGACTTGCACCTTTTAACACACGCATGTATCCCCACCAATATTGGCGTCATTTGAAAACACCATTAAATAAACTTTAAAAAAAACAATTCAATAAAGTTTTATTTTTATTGGAACAATGCAAAAAATGTTTGACGACCTCCGTGGCCGAGTGGCTTGTACGCCAGGTCTCATGGTGTCACCGACTCGAGAGGTCCCGGGTTCGAATCCCGGTGGGGGCAGATGTTTGTGTGATGAATACGAGCTTTTGTACTCCAGTCATGGATGTTTAATATGTAGTTCTATATAAATATACTTATATATGTACTGTATGTGTATTCTATCCGTTGCCCTAGTATCCCATAACACAAGCCTTACAGAGCTTACTTTGGGGCTAGGCTAATTGGTGTGAGTGTTGGAAATATTTATATTTATTTAATTTATTGCAGCGCATCAGATTAGGTCAATACGATTTCCCTGAACCAGAATGGTCGAACGTGTCAGCAGAAGCGAAGAATCTCATCAGAGGCATGCTTTCAGTGGATCCAGCGAAACGACTGACTATACACCAAGTAAGTTTAATTATAATCCTTATTTACTTATGCATATGATCGGGTTCGGTTTGGCATCATTGAATCTTATTAGAGACAAAAAAGTTAAATGATATATATAATCGCTGAATCGCGAAAAAAAAATCTGCTGTTTCATACAAAAGTGCATCAGCTAATCGACCGAAATGTATGGAAAAGCTGTTTGTTTATGTCATTTGCTAATAAAAAAAAGGTGATGGTGATGATGATACCTTCTATTTTGTCCATCAGGTAATGGCAAGCCCTTGGGTCCGTCAATACACTCAAGTGCCTCAAACTCCCCTCTACACCAACACCTTGTTAAGGGAGGGGGGAGACGCGTGGGCCGAAGTTCAAGACGAAATGACGAGGTCTTTAGCCACCATGAGGGTAGACTACGATCAGGTGAGTGAAATAAAAAATTAAAAAAATATCTTTAATGACATTAATAAATCAGAAATCAATATATCTTTATTCAAATTGGATGTATAGTACAACTATTTTGAATCTACCAAACATTTTATTTTCCCTACCACTCGTTATTTGACATATTTTTTAGCTGCGGAGAAAAACGAGCGAAAAGAAAGTCCACAATATTAAAAGTATAATGTAACAACATTTACAAATCATTATGTTGTTACAATGCCAATGCAATCATGATTTGTTTGAACGTCGAAAGACACTTTCCGCTATTTTGTTTCATTTGCCAACACTTATGCATGTTCCCGAACACTTAGTGGTTAATAATCCACCATTATTAGATACTAACATCCGCCACAACACAATTTTTAACAAGAAAAACAAATCTGCTAAAGTGACGCTTCCCGACCCCGCCAAAAAATCCCTCCTGTTCATGTTATAATATAAAACAAACTTTCAAATGACATATGTTTCGTCCCATGAATGAATGAATGATCACTTTATTGTTCACTATGAAATTTTAAAGTACAATTCATTAAGACTGACGCATGATGAGGACATGTTGAATCAGTGTTGCCATCAAGTTTGAAAGAGTTGCTGTATTCGATACATCGGATTGCCGTATTTTTAAATAAAAGTCATGATTTTGCCGTATTACCTAATTTTATTTATTAAAATTTATAGGTAGTTAGTATTATTATACGGCAATGACAAACCTTCCGTATGCCGTATAATCTGCCAACGCTGTGTTGAATTACAGTTATATTATATCCTTCTTCTTCTTTCTTTTTTAATGGCTTAACTGGGATAGCCACTACACGACAAGGGATTCTTAATAAAATTAATTTTGAAATGAGATGTTGAAAATACTATTTTTAAATTATATTATATCCTAATAATAAAGTGTGTGTGATTGTCTGTTTATGTCGTTACAGCTCTGTCTCTGTAAATAAAATTATGATCAGATCACCTGCCCTTAGCTCGATCCGGTATTGAATTCGTTACGTTTGCGAGTACGAAATAAATCATTGTTAAATCTTGTATTGAAACTTGAACAACTGCTCCTTAACGGACATAACCAGAACTAAAAAAAACAGTACACATTTGCCATATAAAATATATCGTATTCAACTATTCAAATTCAATATTAGTAGCAGGGTACTGTAACGTCCGTTACGTTACTGCCTCCTTGTTTAGGTAAACTCTTTGCTCTTGCAATGCCTACGTTTGGCATTTATATTAAAAAGTTAATGTCGTGATTTTAAGATTTGAAATAAGGAATCGTCTGTCTTTTGATAGAAGGTTCCGTAAAAGAGACGATCTTCAGGCACCAACCCTTTCGTAGCTTAGATAAAAATAATTATATTCGCCTGAATCAAATAAATAACATTAACAATCTAGTATCTTTTAATTAGTAACTACGTCCCCTGAGTTTTATCCACTCTGGCTAAAACTCCTCAGTCATCATCATCATCATCATCATCAGCCTATTAATATCCCCACTGCTGGGGCACAGGCCTTCCCTATGGATGGAATAGGGAGATTGGGCCATGACCCGCCACGCGGGCCCAGTGCGGATTGGCGGGTGCTAACGACTGCAGATGCAGCCGGGACCAACGGCTTAACGTGCCTTCCGAAGCACGGAGGAGCTCGAGATAGTAATTTTTGGTCACCCATCCAATGACCGACCACTGCGAAAGTTGCTTAAGTTCAACGATCGCAGCCGAACGCGCTAACCACTTGCGCCAAACTCCTCAGTACTGTAACCTTAATATGAGTTTGAGCTCACGAAAACTATCATAGTTTTCGTAATTATAAATTATGTTTCTTTGTCGATTTTGGTGAAAAGTAACCAAATATACTTAAAATTTAAGAAGACGCAAATGATTTATTGATCCAATTTAAACACTGTTTATTTGTATTGAAACGAAAACAATAAAATCAGTACCTTTAGAACGAGTGCGAGCTTACGAAAACTATGATAGTTTGTAAAACTCGTACTAAGGATCTTTAGGAAATTGTTAAAATAAATGTTTCATAACGCCTTTTTCCTTTTCAGGTACAAATCAAAGCTTTGGAGCAAAGCAACAATTCCCTACTAAACAAACGCAGGAACAAAGTAGGGGCCTGAAGAGACGAACGGGGAAATAAACCTAATTGTATTACTCTTAAGGTCGATTATATTAATCAAAGCATTTCATTAGAACATCTCAAAAACAGCTGAGAAATTGTGTTATCTCCGTCATGTTGATTAAGAATGAAAGAGATGACTCTATTTTTACTTAAATCTTCCTACTCTTGACGTGTTATTTTGTAGCAAGAAGTGTATTAAGCTTGTTAGTTTCGTTCGTGAACGAATTCTAAGCTTCTCAAACTGTGAACAGCACATAAAGTGGTTCTCAACCTGTTTATTAATATAAGAAAAAGTTATTCGATTATGAAAAAGAAAGCAAAAATTAAACGCAATAATATAATTTATATTGGTTTATAAACATTATTAAAAGAAACACTGTTTAATTAAAACATAGTTCGTAAGTCAATTAAAGTATTTTTTTATAAGAACACAGCTAATTGCATTGTGAGCAATGAAGAAAATAAAAAATATAAAATCCAAAAAAGCAAATGTACTTAGAAAATGTTATTAAGAAATAATTACAGTTCCTTACGCTCGTTTTAATAGATCACAACATTTAGTATATCTTTTCTCGTTATACTCAAAATCACACGCATCACATCCTATTGTATGAATGCGAACGAATTTCAACTCTATTACATAAATGATAAAGTATATTTTCTAGATCGTAATGTAAAACTAACTCCATCTAGTGACCAAAGCCTTGTCTATTACCTCTCTACTGCTCGTGGTGCTCAATCTACTTAAAAAACAGACCTTATCTGAAGTTAATAAGATAGAAAATCGTTTAGCAAGTTTCCATGGATCTTAGCCCCATTTGCAACAAAGTTCTTATTTAAAATTTTAAAGCTAATCATGACTAAGCCATATTTTTTCTCTATTTTACTCAGAGATGGAAATGATGTGTTAAACACGATTGTTAATAAATTTGGTGAAGATGCGCCTTAGAATCGTAAAATAAAATTATATCGTACCTACTTCCATTTGGACTATTACATAACTAAAGTATTTTTTTTATTTATTGACATTGTACGATTTTTCATACGTACTGATATACAGGGTGTGACAAAAGTCCGGAATAAAACTTTAGGGTTTGGTTGTGTTCCTTGTATAGAATTACCTACGAAAGTTTGACGCCTTTCAGACCACTTTTATTTTCTAATTAAATTAATAAAAATATCGTTTTACACCTGCCTATGACAACCCTATAAATGCGTACGATTACTACTACCTAAACAGACCCCCCTCTCTCCCCCAGGCGCCCCTGCGCCCCGCTCAGATACCTACATATTTTTCTTTCGGAATACATACCTACAAATTTTATTTCGGAATTCTGTAACACTGTATATGAAATAATATTTTTATACACAAATCATCTAAAAAATCATCTGAAATATATCAGTATCTTTAATTCGTTGAAAATAAATAGTTACATTTCCACATACGTAGCTACAATCGCTTAATGTTTCTTCTGGTGTGGCACATCACTTGTTTATTCGCGTTTGCTACTTGTATACTTGACAAGTCTATCCTTATCATGCTTTTTAAGAAATGAAAATGACAGACTGATCTCAAGTTTACAAATAGCGAACACGAATAAGCAAGTGATGTGCCGACATAAGATGGTGGTTAGGACATTTTACATAGTCAAAAGTGCATTGTGCATAAGTTCGTACGTAACTCGTAATTCGTACGTAACTGTTAAATTAAGTCATTTTAGTGACAAATTTACTATAAACTTTAGATTTAAATCAAACTGTCATTGCTTTTGGTTTTACTACAGCCTATGAACTGCAATGTAAATAAATGAAAACTGTTTAATTAATAATAAAATCACAAATATGTCATATACATATAGACAGAAGAGAAAAATAATTATACATCACTTAGTAAAATCACAAGATTTCTCCAGCTTTCTGTCTACAATTAGGTAAAAACTATAATTATTTAATAACCTACTTCGCACTTAGCTTTTTAAAGGTTTAAAACAGTATTTATTTTTTTTGTAAAAAGATGTATTGTAAAATTCAAAATAAAATGAAATCTTAAAAAAATAACTATTTTGTACTGACTATGTAAACTATATTACTATGTTTTTTTTTGTTACTTCCTTTATATGCGTTATTTATGTCAATATAAAAAATCTTATATGACTCGTGCCAATAAAAAAACCGATTTGCAAATTACGACGTGTGATATTCTATCCCTCTCGCATATACTGTTCTAAGTAACGTGGGAAAGGGACAGAATGTCTTGCGTCGGCATTTTCAATTCGTTTCTTTAATGGCACAAGTAATACTAATTACGATACAAATATATATATATATATACATTTCAAATTGTTTTATTGGTTTTCGACTCTATATATAATTCTCAATGGGAAACTAAAATCTTTAATAAATTCAAAATTCAATATCTTTTATTCAGTCTAGGCTGTTACAAGCACTTGTGAATGTCCAAAAGCGACACCATCGGTTCGCAAATCTACGGCGGGAGACCTTGTACTGAGAAGAACCGGCAAGAAACTCAGCATGGGCCGTTTTTTTCTCCCTGTATTATATACAGAGTCGTCAAATTGAAAAATGACTTCAATATGAGGTAACTCATAAAGTCACTTTCCAATACATCACAAAATCGTGTCTTACGTTCACTATAATAATTAATTGTGAATTGGTGTTTTTCACAATTCTTATAATATTAGAAAAAAATATACTTATTGCTTATAATGGTTTTCTTTGTTATTTAGTTTTTTTTTTATATTATCATTTATATATTATCCGATGTATTTGTCAATTCCGAAATCATAAATAGGCATATAGCTATATTTTACGTGGCTGATATAAATACAGTTTTGATATCAGACTATTATGACTTTAAAAGGGGTATGTAGATTTTGATAGAAAAACTGAATATTTTTTTCCAAAGAACAATGTATGTACCTAAGTCAACTTTTTATTTTTTGCATACTAATCAAAACTTCACATCAATTGTGTTATCATTATCACAAACAGAATATCGAAAATTTTTAGATTTTGGATATAACATATCGACTCCTAGTTTTTTTTAGTAAGATAATTTAGTTTTGTAGTCAGCATGTATATTATATATACAGATTTTTCAATCATTTTGGGAAAAATAACGGTATTGCACTGAATTGAAAATTGTTGACTGTATTTTTAGTGTGGCTGTTTAGAAAATTTCGTTTTGTAGATGTCGTTAGTGATGTGTGAGACGTTGTTATCGATAACTTGTCGATATTGATAGTATCGATGCTGTTTCGCCTTGTAAGAAAGGGGTGAAATATAGATATAGTACCACTAGAGATAATTTTATCTGACAAAATCTAAGATATACTGTAATACAGCCACATAAAGTTTGTATTGCGTAACTTTGCACCTGGCTTTGGTAAAATAAATAAATAAATTAGAATAAAATGACGTCTAGTGTTGTATGATGATGGTGTAAAAAATCGTCTGTTTCTAAATAACAAGGTGTTAATTTCAAATCGAAATTTATTTTTGTTTTAATAAAAGATTAAGAATATAACATTATTATAGAAAATTTTCAAATTTAATGCATACAGTTGGTGGAATAATATTAGTAATTCTATCTCATTTACACTTGTTAAGAATGAGCAGGACGTCGCACATGGGTCTGCTAAAAGTGTATTTTAATACACCATTATTTTGCCGTCCATTTTAATAGAAATGGTATTTTCGTACTAAAATATTGTAGCACGACGCTTTGGTTGTATAAATAAACCTTATTGAGGTCGCATAGAGTACATTTTTACATGTCTTTATTGGTAAACATATTTTTGTGGTTTTTTCAAAGAAATTACGAATGGTAGTATTTATTTGAACTTCTAATAGCTATAGTATTGACAAAAGTTGTTTGCTAAATAAGCGAAATAAACAAATAATTTTGAATTTTGAGTTATCTGAGAAATTTAAAAATTGAGCAAATGGAAAAATTGCGAACAGTTATAAACAGTAAATGTACTACAGCTCCATACAATAATATTGATTTGTATCAGCTAAAAAAAAATCCTATTTGTAAATAACATACATGAAATTATTATCTATTTAAAGTACGTAGATTCTAAAAATGGATGTATTTGAAATAATTTATATCAATTTAAATTATTAAGGTGTAACAACAAAATTGGTGGGTTTCGGCAGACATCTTTCGAAAAATAATGTTGTAGATTTTTTTTTGGGAATTTTTAACCTGAACAGTTTCTCGAATAACTCAAAAATCATGGCGTATATATACACATATTAAAGAGTGAAGTCACAAAATGCAAGTCTGTGTAATTAGAGTCTAATACAGTGCGACAAGAATCTTTATGAATGTGTGACAGTTCAGGGACGGCACTACTGTCTACTTAAATGACCGTAAATGACATATAGAATATGACGTTTACAAAGATGGCGGCGTTAGTTCCAATTTTCGCCACATTCATGAAGATCCTTGTCGCTCTATAGGTATAAACCTTCGCAAACATCTTGTGCATCGACCTAGCCTGCGCAGTAGCAATTTTACATACAAAAATGCCTTCTGCACAATTTGCGTTTATTTATCTGTGGTTTTGCTTAGGAAGTTTGCGGTACGTATACCCACTGATTGGCCTAAATTTGAAGAATTATTATCACGTAATTATAATTGAATAGTTTATTTTTATACATATTTTTTTTGTATAAACTGAAATCACAAAAAAATAAGCTTTGATGTATCCTGTCAAATAAATATAGACTTTTGCATTAATGAAATGTGTTAATTTTCAATGTATAAATTGACCTACAGATTAATTTGAGTGTACATGCTAAGAAAGATTTGGTACTTACTTATTTTCTATATGAGTATTTTTGTAGTTATAAAATGTTAATTTAGCAACAGGCCAAGTTGTCAGAAACTCAAATTTGTGCTTTATCTAGCTTAATATAAGATGCACAATTGATTGGGTCGACTATTCACGCTTTATGTTACACTGCCCCTCACTTGACCCTACTACTGAATGTAGTGTTCTAGTGATCATAAGTTTGCATTTCGCGTAACATTTGCCAAATCTAAGTTTAGTTGTGGTCAATGTCATATAAATTACTTTACGGTTTGATGTATATTAGTTGATTAATAGTATCGTTTAAGTGAACTTAATGATACCTACCTAACTAATAATAATTAAAATGATTTAAGTCGAATTCAAGTCTTTTTTTTCCTTTTTTTTCGATGACGCGGAGAAAAAATGCATTATATCCACGAATTTGACCAACGCCGCGTTGGTTTGCGGCTGACAAATCCTCGTGACGCAGGTAATTGCGTGGTACAAACATAGAGGTATAAGAATACAGTAGGGGAGATACAGACTCTACTACAAGTGGAAGTGTCCCTCCAATAGAAAGAGAAAGATGAGAGACCGCTAGCTTTCTCTCTCTAATCGCGCATGCGCATTGGCAACCGTAAGCATCTTACTATTTCTATGTGATGCCACTGGATGCCATGCGTCACAAGAGAGAGAGATAGCTAGCGGTCTCTCATCTTCTTTCTCTTTCTACTAGATGGACACTTTTAGGCCCGTATTAAAGACTAGATCAGTCACTGAGAATTTTCAGTGACTGATCTAGTCTTGAGCTTAGTTAGAAAGGGATCTCGCTATATATAGCACATAGCTATACTATTCTGTAATACGGGTCTTCGAGCCGCTTTCCCCACTCTATGGTCAAACCACCCCGCCTCCGACCAGCAGCCCAGTCCCAAGGGCGGATCCATGGGGATCATGACCCCCCCCCCCCCCACCCCTGGGCTGGGTCCATCTGTACCCACTGTGACTTGACCACGACCATATGACCCCCTCCTGGCGCCAAAGCTGGATCCGCACTTGCCCAGTCCGCACCCGCTTTAGCCGATCCTGGGCTTCTTCGTTCACAGCGTCACCTGACTAGTCTCACAGACCGCAATCCGAGCAGCTAGCCAGCCGACCAGCTCCCGTACCTACCAGGTAGACCAACTCCCCAATCTACCCCTCACCCTCCAGGCGTACAGTTAACTAGTAAACAAAACGCCATGGTGCACAATATCGTATTTTTGTCTTTATGTTGTTTTGTGAAAATATGCCTACCAGTTTTAATTATTCCTTGCCTAACTGAGTATGAAGACAATGAAAAAGCGATTAGGTATATATTACTGTTGATTTTGGCACGATTCTCTTAATCTTAAATTAAATTTCACATCAGTCTCTCCTTTTCATGCTGTATAGAGATTAACAAGGATACAGTGTTGTCAAATTTAATATTAGGTTTAGAGAATCTGCCAGGATCCCACTGAAAACTTGTGTGCGTGCGTGCCCTCCGAAGGGCCACAGTGGAAAACGTAAGTTTCGTATACATAAAGATTGAGCACATATACATTCGTTCATGTATACGAAATCTACGTTTTCCACAGTGGCCTCTCGGGGGTAAATAAGTACTCTTTGCTCGGGCTCGGCTTTGTGCGTGCCCACGGAGTACCCCCACTAGAGTCCGCATCACGCAAATTTTGTTTGAAATCAAAATCGCCAAAGTCGGTGGCGTGCAGGGAGATCAGCCGCGTTGTGATTGGACACGTCAAGGTCAGATGATATACTCAGTGCAGCGAAGTGATGAGGGTAAGATCGATTTTAGAAAATATCGATATTTTATATCGATAAATAAAGAACACCCGGCATTATCTGCCAAAGTTCTATACTTTTTTAATTTTTTTATCTGTGTTTCATAATTGGGTAACGTAGTCTGGCAATATTTGTCATCAGCAGCTAGCTGTCCATGTCAAATACGTAGGTTTGTCAATATAACCTCTATATGTAGCCGGGTCGTCAAGAAAAATAACGGATAAAAAGGCAATCACAGCAGAGAACATTCACAATCACAGTACGCGGGAGCGAATGATTTTTTTGTTTGTATTTTAGGATTGTCAAATTGACATTTGGTTTTTTATTTAGAAAAAGCAAAGGAATCATGGTTTTTACAGTCACTTGAGTAATATTTTAAGTAAAATTCTGTGCCTTGAAGATTTAGGGTTTCCATATCAAAAAATATTAATCATTATATAACTTCTTTCCACGATTCACTAAAAATAAGGCAAAATTAGTTTTATGTAGCAAATAATTTTGGCTTCATTTTGAGACCAAATTCAACTGTATACAAGTTTAGCATTTTTTCTATGAAAAGTGCCGGATCTCCATTGTACAGAGGCCTAGTACTTTGGTGCGCTAGTGTAGCTATGCGCAAACATACTCTCTCCACTTTTTTCCAGCGTTCTAATTACATGACGCGACTAGTAACTACATACTAAATAAAATATAAGCAACACAAAAAACACGTAAAAAAAATATCTAGATAGACAATAATATGCTGTTTATGACAACTTTTAAAACTTAAGGCGCCTTACTCATCGGCTCGGTACAGGTTCGTTTTGTTTTCGGGAGTGACTGTCAGTGGTAAAGTGACGAGAACATATGTAACTGTTTACAGTTGGAGTCCAATCTTTACGTTTAGTTGCACTTATCCAAAGTTCCTTCATCTTGGCACATTTTGGAAACCTATGAAATAAATAAAACACGTAATGTTACTGTATTTTGATTCTCGCATCAGTCTGTAAGATATCACCTTAAATATCTCTTTAAAGATTTTGCTCGTTGCTGTTCTCGTGAAAGGCACATGCGATATACAGACTTAATGAATTTAACATTAATACGGTGACGTCCGTGGCTCTTGACTTAGCACACGCAAAATAACCTAAGTATAACCAAATTATTGATTTTGAAGGAACTTGGTAAATACTTATCAAATTTTATGCTAGCTACCACCCGCGACTTCATCCACGTTAACTTTAGTTTTTTGAAAATCCTAAAGAAACCTGACATTTTTCCGTTACAAAAAGTATTCGATACAACGATATTTTATACCCTAGATACGACAACATGTACAAAATCGTGGCCGAAACGTGACCAAAAGGTACATTTGACGATTGACAGAGGTCCGTAAGATGATCGCGTGGTCAAAATCAATGTAATGCATTATTTAAAAAAAAGTCACCTTTAATGCATACGGCATAAGCTCTTAATTAAAACGCATGCATCAAAGATTTATGGCAGTTCAAAATGCAAGTTCCTAAAATTTTACGACTTATTGTTATATGCGAAAGAAAATAGACCTTATTTTTTTTAACTTTTCGCGCTCAATTCTGAATGTGCTGTTAGCTATTATAGCAGGTACAGACCGCGAAGAAAAAAGACGGCTATAGGGCGACGTATAACCGACCATGCTTTTGAGTATCACAAATATGTTATATTAAATCAGTTTATAGTAAGTATTACAATAAAATTTGCTTCAAACGCGTTAAATTTATAATAATAATAAAAACGTTTATTTGGCTCAAATTATATAAATAACTTATTGTATTACATAAAGATGACTATGTACCAAATTATAAAAACATTAATTAGATACCTGTCGAAAAAACAACACTTTACGTACTATTAGTATTTTTTTCGCATTTTTACGGAGCTCTGCGGCATTTTGACTTTTCATCGGTCCGCGCGTGACTGTAAACCAAGAAGTGCTGGAATAAAGTTTAAGCACTTCTTGATTGGGACACATTTTGAGCGCTCGTGGTCTATCTAGGGTATTTAATATCGTTAATTCCATGTCTTTATCTAGGTCATAAAGTATGCGCACTTAATTTCATACAAATCGGTTTAATCGTGTAATAGTAACAAACATCCATACAAATTTTCGGTTTTAAAATTTTAGTACGATATGATTAAAAACTGTTGGTTGTATACATGATATCTGTTATTGTATACGATAAAATAAATAGTTTTTATTTATTTTTTCTATTTCCGTAGCTGACAAACTTATCGATAAACTTACGGGTACAGACATGAGCTGCGTCAAGTCACTAGCAATACACGTGCCGGTGTGAGAGCGGAATAGCATATATGATGTAGCGCATGCGAGAAAGGGATAGTGTTAAAAGACATCAACGCGTTCACCAAAAAATAAATACAATTAAAAGCAATTTCATATAAGAGTATTTTTGTCTTTTTGTAATGCATTTAAACTTACCGATGAAAAGTAATACCATCTTTTTGAAGACTGGAAGTTTTACTCCACTTTCCACATAATTTAATTGCACAGTACGGCATTTTTTCTAGTTTTTTAACGCAAAAACGAGAGAAGCACTTCTGCTAACGCTCGGCTTCGGAATGAAACGATGTATAGCGACGTCTGTGGGCGTGTCTCACGCATACGTAATATACTACTTAAGCTTGGCGTAAGCGCTTGCCCTTGTATGCGGACTCTAGTGGGGGTGCTCCATGTGCGTGCCGCACATAGTTTAACCTAGCCTTAGCCCCAAAATAAGCACTGTAGGTTTTGTTAGTGGCGCAAGTGGTTAGCGCGTTCGGCTGCGATCGTTGAAGTTAAGCAACTTTCGCAGTGGTCGGTCATTGCATGGGTGATCATAAATTTATTATCTCGAGCTCCTCCGTGCTTCGGAAGGCACGTTAAGCCGTTGGTCCGGGCTGCATCTGCAGTCGTTAGCACCCACCAATCCGCACTGGGCCCGCGTAGTGGATCATGGCCCAATCTACCTATTCCATCCTTAGGGAAGACCTGTGCGCAGCAGTGGAGACATTAATAGGCTGATGATGATGATAATGATGAGGCTGTGTTATGGGATACTAATGTAACGGACAGAATACATATACTGATACATATAGTATAAGTATATCTATATAGAAATAAATATTAAACATCCATGACTGGAGTACAAATGCTTGTATTCATCACACAAACATCTGCCCCCACCGGGTTCGAACCCGTTGCCTCTTGAGTAGGCGACACCTTGAAACCCGGCGTTCTAACCCCTCGGCTAAGGAGGTAAACATTATTTCATAACATCAAATAATTGTATTTGTTTCTTAGGTTTTCACGCACATCACTCATTAAATAAAACCAGATATTTCTTCAGTACATTGTTATGAACTGAAATAAAAGTAAATGGTTATTAAAAAACAACTTTAATTCGTCATTCTAAACTTATACCCTTAAAATTAACAGAATGCGTCACACAAATTTCTTATCCTTTACTACTTATTATTTTCAGCAAAAGTACATTTAAACTGTATCCCGCTCATTTATAAACAAGGAATAAGCTTGGATATGTTATTCCATGTTTTATTTATTTATTTATTTTAATTTTATTGACCAAAATACAAATGTTTTGTCTCTGTTCATTGTTGTTCAAGTGTGCCATTCGTTCATGTGACCGGTGCCAGAAGGTATATATGAAATAACTTTGTTTTAAAATGTACTAACATAGTTTTTAAGGGTTTGATTGTTACTAACATTTCTATGGATCTAGTATCTGAAATAAAACATTATTATTATTATTGAATGACAAATGGCATTTGGGTGACATGAACAAAACACGGCGTAACTATTCTAAGCTTAATCTCTGTTTATTAAAACCGGGGATTAATGCCCGTATTATAGAACGCGCCTAAAGCAGCATATAAACTAGAATCACGCAAAGCTAGTTTTAACTGTAGATCACTACTTGATTGCTCATCATATTATACAGATCACGTTTTAAAAGAAAAACAGGTGAGACTAGAAAGAAATATCTTTTGAACTCCGATCAAATTTGTCTATGGGCTAAGTATGTTTTCAATTACACTTAGATAATAAACAACTTTGCGGTATGTCCAACTTCATAAACTCGCATTACAAGTTTATTCGGGATTATAATTAAGTTTTCTCTTCTTAAGAATGGTGCCGACAATATTTAAGTAAACAAAGATCAAATCTTTGCTTGATTTTATCGTAAATGTCCTTCTGAAATAAGCAATTACTCAACTGAGTTTTAATTAAGGTTTATGTTTGTAGAAACGTTCTAAAATTAAACGTTTTAAAACTAGATTTCTTACTGTGAAATTTTCTATAATACGGGCCTAAGAGTAACCGTAAATTATTTGAATATTTAAATTAACATTAATCTTTAAATTAACCCCTTAGTTTGATTCATACTAACACTTCAAAACTGTTAAAAAAATAACAATATAATAGTGACGTGATAACAGCTTTAACATAAGAAAATAAAATATTGTTCAAGTTACTTTCCATTTATTTCAGACACAGAAAAATATGAATACATTTGAAATACACAAATTACACTTTAGTAAGCATTTTTAATAAGTATAAAACAGTGTACTGTAATAAATAAAACATTGATTTTGTATAATTATAAGAAACTTAAAATAAACTTAAATATTTTGTGACCTCGATTTTCAACCCTAACATATATATTTTTTTAACTAACATATATATATATATATGTATATTTCCGGACACAATAATTGCCCCAGCTATCATTTTAGTTTTGACATTCCTAGCTAAAAATAAATGTAAAATTTTTGGAAAAGGTTTTACACTGTTTTAAATATGAACAATTAACCATCTTTACATGTGTATTCAAAAACATATTATTCTTGCTCAACCTTACAAATATTTTTGCTACAGAACGTTTAAACTAACATTCAGTGGGCCGATAGATGAGTCCGGAAGTGTATATACAGGCTCAGAAAGCAACTTATTTTGTATTAACTCCGAAATGCAAAGGAATGCCATTGTATACATTAAAAGTTACATCAACTAAAAAAAACTAACAATATTAAATAACACATACAAAATTTAAATCAAAGCAAATGCATAATTTCACAAAGAAATAATTTAAATTAAATTATTAGTTTTTTACCAATTAAAGTCGGGAAAGTATCCATACTACGTGAGGGGGGGGGGGTTAATCAATATCCTTAAGGGAAATTTTCTTCTTGGTATATTTTATTTAATTCAGATAACGAACAATATAAGAGATATTTTTAAATTGTAATTATAGCTAGGCAAGCACTCTTGGCCGCGCCAAGAAAATATTAAAAAAGAAAAATATGAACCTTATTTTTTTTACCCTTCTGTATGCAAAAAATATTTAAAAACAATAAAACAAGGGTGTTAAAAGTGCGTCACGTAGTATGGGTATGCTCCCAAAGAACAACTCAATTTTGCCGTATAACATGCTCATAATAAACTGATACATTGAAACTTAACCTTATTTTCTATTGTATTAAAGTCGATTTACAAGCACGTGTATAGAATGTAGATGCCAGGAACTATCCAGACAGTCTTCATCATAGAAACGCCAAGGAGACAAGCGACCAGGAACCATAGAAGGACTATAATTCCCGCTTGCCATAGCAAATGTACGATGTACAATCTGAAATTCAATATAAATAGCTTAAGAAAAAATGGGTGCGTGTACTTATGTAGGCGCGTGAGAAGTTATCCTTCTTTGGCATCGTTTAAAATTAGTTTTTAATTGCATGCAAATAATTAATTACAATAAATTAATAAAAAGTCTGGAAAAGGACGCAGTCAATAAAGTTCAGTTTTAATTTGAAAAAATAAATAAATAATCAAAATATTCAATTAAAATCGCTACTGAATATAATTTATTAGAACATATGTGATTTGCACTTGTATGAAACTCAAACACGTATTCCGAATATACAAACTAGAAACATGTGGATAAATATTATAAATATGAATACCTGTTACTTTATTACAAAAAATAAAGACGTGGTTTTTGGTTCTACTACACCAATGGTCAAGAGATGGCGCTGTAGTCTCCTGAATCGCGCTTTGGTTCCGTTGTTCCAGATTAATAAATACTTTTGATAGGCCTTCACAATGCAGTCGTTAGCACCCACTAAATAGAGATTCTATTTCTATTTTGTTGTTAGATTTTCTTAATGTGCGGTAAACACAAAAGTTAATTTTTGTGTTACAGTGATGCGCGCGCATCTTAAAATTTCACTCTCATCATTTTTTCATAACGCGCCTAAAGAAGTATAACTTCAAAAATAAAAATTCTAGCTTAGGAATTTACTAAAAACTATATTAAAAAAAAATATATACTTTAGAAAATTTTATACTGGACCATGAAATAACTCTTTGTCATTACATGGGAGCGAGGTTCCTATACATACATTAAACACAACTCATAACATATAAATTTATTCCAATAATAATAATAAGGATAATCTGGTAAGAGAAAATTAACCCATTATGTAAAATTCAGGTAAAGATTTTATTAATATATGATGATAATTGGACCTAGCTTCTAAATTTGAGAAAAATCATTCGCAAATAGTTGGAAATTTCAATATATACAATCCAAAGTGTATTTGGATTTTGCTTCAAGTCCCCTTGAGATTAATATTTAATAGTTCAATGCCCTTCCGGCGAGTCTATTGCGGTAGGTCTGGCGCCCGAGTACTTTTTCAATTTTATTTCGACCTATTCATATTGTTTTTAAACAATTTGTGTCTTAATTTTTATAAATTTTTAAATGATAATTTTACGGAGCTTGTAAATGGTCCGAAAGGCAATAAAGCACTTTATAGCTGTTAAAAAATAGTAGTTAATACAATTATCATATAAGAAGAGGTATTAAAACACTCGAGTCTGTTTAGATAACAGGTTGACTCAAGTGTTTTAATACCTATTTATTTTAATTTACAAAAACGTAAATTATATGCATCTGAATACACTTCTTGATCTTCACTCATAGGAACAATTGATATTAAACAAAGTCACACAGAAGTATTTTTCAAAAAGACTTTTTTGAAATCTCGAAATCAAAAAACACGTTCACAGAAAATTGTATGGAGAGCGCGATAAATTAAATTTTCAAAATTTTGAATACATAGTTAAAAAATGCAATTTTATTTGCGTCAGCAGCAACATAAATAGAAATAAAAGAATTATATAAAAACGCTTTTTTCTTAAAACTCATTTCTTATGTATGGTATGCAAAAATTACTCAATAAATTCTATACTTTTTTTGGTTTGAAAACAATTAGTAATAAGCTTAAATACTTACGTGGTTTGGAGGAGCTCGATGGCACAGGTGGTTAGCGCGTTCGGCTGCAATCGCTGAAGTTAAGCAACTTTCGCAGTGGTCGGTCATTAAATGGGTGACCAAAAATCTTCTATCTCGAGTTCCTCCGTGCTTCGGTAAGCACGTTAAGCCGTTGGTCCCGGCTGCATCTGCAGTCGCTAGCATCCACCAATCCGCACTGGGCCCGCGTGGTGGGTCTTGACCCAATCTCCCTATTCTATCCATAGGGAAGGCCTGTGCCCCAGCAGTGGGGACATTATTAGGCTGATGATGATGATGACTTACGTGGTCTGCTTCTTCCTGGCCGCTGGTAATGTGCTGTCTTTCTCTTTGTTCAAATATTTCCTAACTCCCAGCTGAAGATTGGTGAAATAATCCTCCCACTGCAACAAGCGATTGTGAGCTTTAAGACGACGAGTTAAAGTACATTTTTTTTCGTAGACTGAATGTTGTATTGTTTCATTTGTTGTTAAGTTTAAATTCACACTATAATTAATAGTTATCCTTAACTTTTGGAACGATTTGAATAGTTAAAGTTCTTAATAATGGAGTGTTAAGTAATTAATAAAGATATTTGAAGATATCGAGAAAGTGCTAATTAAATAAGTGTCGTCAAATCGTTATCACTACAGTACCCTTAGCACGAAATAATATCGAATTCGAATAGTTCTCGAGTGCGAAATGTCACTGTCAAATCTGTATTGATTTTTAGATCTCGATACGTCCGTTATGGCGCTGCTGTTCAAGTTTCCATACAAAATTTGACAATGACATTTCGTACGCAAAGTATTCGAATTCGATATTGATTCGTCCTAAGGGTACAGAAAGAATAATCGGATGCATATCTACCTAAAGTAATTTTTTGCCGACAAATTATGGAAACGTCTTCTTAGGATATTTTTTTATTATAAACAAACTCCGGGACTCCGGGATCGCCTAACTTATCGAATGTATATTTACTGAAAATTAAGTACGTATGAAATAAAATAATATTAGACGTAACAGATTTTGCCGCCTTAATTTGACATTAAATTATTTTATGTTACGCCCATGGAATAAGGATATTCCCTATAAGTTTACCAACGTTTTTTATAATGTCAAGAAATCGAAAGTGTTAATGTAACATTTACGATTTTTTAAAGTGATTTCGAAATTCAAGCTACTATCCTTATTTTATCTTTAACATGATATATTGCATTACAATAAAGGTCAAATATCTTTAATCGTCCTCTTAAATTATTAAGAGGAGCTCGATGGCGCAAGTGGATAGCGCATTCGGCTGCAATCGTTGAGGTTAATCAACTTTCGCAGTGGTCGGTCATTGGATGGATGACCAAAAATTTACTATCTTGAGCTCCTTCGTGCTTCGGAAGGCACGTTAAGCCGTTTTTCTCGGCTGCAACTGCAGTCGTTAGCACCCACTAATCCGCACTGGGTCCGCGTGGTGGGTCATGGCCCAATCTTCCTATTCCATCTATAGGGAAGGCCTGTGCCCCAGCAGTGGGGACATTTATAGGCTGATGATGATGATGATGATCTTTAATCCATATTAAACACAGTTTTAGAAGGTCTATTTGCAATTACACATAAATATTCTTTATAAAGGAAAGTAAGGAATCAGTTGATTTCATCATGAATACATCTGTATAGTACAATACTCACGTTTAAACTAGATATATCTATATAAAACAGCTCTCTGTCTGTCTTGTTGAGTTGTTTGGCAAGATCCAGAGTATTGGGATTGTGAAACAGCCATTCGGTGAATATGAACTTTTCCAAGCGATTCAATGAGTTCCACACGTTGCGATTCAAGCGGAATAATCTGTGAATAAGAATCAGATCAAGGCTCAACAAGAATCGAGGAATTTGGTATTAATCAACGGTTGGTAACTATATGCATAATGAAAGTATATAGGAAATACTACTTCTTACATATTAATATATAGGTATACAGTAGAATCCGTTTATTATGACTCCACCTATATTGACCCACCGCCTATTATGACGTAATTACACAACGAAGTTTGGTTTCCATATAAAATTCATTGTAACAATGTCGGATATAATGACTTCGCTTACAGTGACATGTCGCTTATTATGACCCATTTTAATATTTTTTGTCCGTTTATAGTGACCGACATGGTTCTTTACACCTACGGTAATGTTCGTTGATACCCGACAACGTTCGGCATGTGGCAAGTTTTTGTTTTCAATCTCATGAGTAATTTACATTTGAATATCACGCATTATTTTAGTGATATCCTATGTAAAAAAAATGTCATCTCAAAGTCGTAAAGCATTTACGACTGAGGAAAAAGGTGCAATAATATTATGCTGATTAGAAAATTGAGAATCAAACTCATCTCACAATCTTTTTTCATAAAAATTGTTTGTATGACGTCCGCTTAGTATGACGTGTTTGTCGATTCCCTTCGAAGTCATAATAAACGGATTCTACTGTAGTTATATTTTTGGATTTTTGAAGCATTTACCTGCTAGATAAATTTAATCTTAACAAAATGTTACTAGAAAAAGTTCCACGCGGACCAGGCAGCAGACGGTACTCGAACCAGCACCCTTCGTTATTTATTTTCATTTGGGAAACATACAGTTTTACACAATTCAATTAAGTAACACTTATTACTTTTTCATAAACCAGTTAAGTTTCCACAGACTGAAACATTCATATGCTTACATAATTTACTTAAGATTACGTACAATATTTAGAGTTATGTATATAAAAGAAAATACTAAGTGTTAGGGTAAAACGACCTTATAGCATTCATTTCTAAATTGATTGTAAGAAAGGCAAAATATATCCAATCCCCTGAAGTATTTATTATAGCTGTGACATGCTCTAGAAATGAAACTATTTGCAGCAAACTTGGTCCTGCTGAATTGTATTACAAACGTATTGTCAGACCTAGTTCTATTTGGTCAACGAAAACCAACCCTCTGCAAAAGGAACGGCGAATCTACAAGGTCATTAATAAGTTTATCCGGGCGAATGCACTGACCATTATGCTACCGTGGCCCTACGGCCGTGGCGACTTTTCCGTAGCCTTAGGCTGCAATGCAGCGCCATCTCTTCGCAACCTTCGTAACCCACAATGTGGGTGCGGGTTCGAGTCCCGTCTGCTGCCTGGTCCGCGTGGATTTTTTTCTAGTAAAATTTTCTTTACATTTAAACATCTAGCAGGTGAATGAAAAAAATAGAACTATAATTGCCATTTCTTCTTTCAAATGTTTAATACTTGTAAAGGTATTCATTTGACATTGTGGGGTACCCAGTATTCGTTGCATCACTAATTTTTAAGTATTTAACTGCTTTAATACTTGTAAAGGTGCGTTTTTTTTATTACCAGTTTCAAAGAAATATAATTATAATGTTGTGATCAATCACATCTTAAAACCACAGAGGTTTGAATTTATGCGATGATAATTATTTATATTTTTTGACATTGCGGGTTACCTACAATGCAAATACAAAGTTTAGTATGTAAGAAAACGTCTTGATACTTACATAGGTTTACCTCCAGTCAATCTAAGCATCATATCCAATAGTATACCGGGGAAGAAGTGAACGAATATGGCTGATATACGGAAACTTAACAGTGAAGAGTTAAAAGCTAGGTAAGGGTACCTGAAACAAGCAACAAAACAATAATAAACAAATTATTTTTAGTATTTACCATAAGCCTATTAATGTCCCCACTGATTGGGCACAGGCCTTCTTGATGGACGGAATAGGTAGATTGGGCAATGGTTTTATTGAAAATAAAATATGTAAATCTAATAATAAAATCAAAACAACGTGGCCGGGTGGTTTGTACGACGGGTTTCAATATGTCGCCTACTCGAGAGTCCCGGGTTCGAATCCCGGTGGGCGCAGATGTTTGTGTGATGAATACGAGCATTGTACTCCAGTCATGGATGTTTAACATGTATTTTTATAAAAACATACTTATATGTGTATCAGTATATGTATTGTATCCGTCACCCTAGTATCCCATAACACAAGCCTACAGTGCTTACTTTGGGGCTAGCCTAATTGGTGTGTGTTATAAATATTTATTTTATTTATTTCAAATGATGAGTACATGCAAACTGTTAGTCCTTCTCAATGTGGTAAAGTTATAATTACTTAATTACTAATTCATAATAAATACGGATGCCAACAATTGGTGCATTATTTTTGTTAGCCTATTAAATATACAGGGTGTTACAAAAATACAAATAAATCTTGAAGGGCGTTGAAGTACATCATAAAAGGGGTCTTCTCTAATTTTCTTAAAATATTAGCATGAAGTTTTAACTTTTATAAAAACGGTTATTTTTAATGATAAATAAAAAAATCTATCATTTTAAGACACGTCACTAGTTCGAGGATCATTAAAAATAACTGTTTTTATAAAAAGTTAAAACTTCATGCAAATATTTTAAGAAAATTAGAGAAGACTCCTAATATGATGTACTTCAACGCCCTTCAAGCTTTATTTGTATTTTTGTAACACCCTGTATACTTTAGTAGCTCGCACTCTATCGCCATAACATTCGTCTCCCACACCCTTACTGGTTGACTGGTAGAGAACGCCTATGACATTAAGTCCGCCATTTATTGTATTTTGGTAAAGAAGAATAAAATAAATAAATAAATATAGATTAACTCACCACACAGCACTTTTCAACGGGTAAGTATGTAGTTTAGTGTTGACTGTATTCTCGATTGTGCACCAACGGAATGGCCTGCATGTTGACGAAGAACAGTGGTACACTGAGAGGCCGGACCTGAGACAAGACGAAGTAAAATTGTAAGGGCATATACTTATATTTCACTTTTAGAAATTAAGTACTAACATAATATAAGTATCTACTAACATATTTTGGATCATGTTGTCCTTATTTGAACATTAATGAATAAATATGACGTTGCACATAAAATATTAAATGATTATTAAAATTCACTTAAATTGTTTGACATTTAAGTACATTAAATTATATTACACGACATTTCATTTATATGATTTTAAATGTAGAATATAAATTAATTGCATAAATTTATAAATTTTATTATTTTTAAAGCATGTAACTGCTTGATGTTTAAATCTAAAGAAAATATAACTAGAAAAAAATCCACGCGGACCAGGCAGCAGACGGGACTCGAACCCGCACCCTTCGCAATCCGGGCGAATGCACTGACCAATTATGCTACCGCGGCCCTCACGGACCGCGTCGAAATTCTTCTAGCCATTCTTAAGCTGCAAGGCAGCGCCATCTCTTCGCATTATAGGTAACCCACAATGTCAAATGAATACTTTTACAAGTATTAAACATTTGAAAGAAGAAATAGCAATTATAGTTATAAATTTTATTATTTTTAAAGCATGTAACTGCTTGATGTTTAAATCTAAAAAAAATATAACTAGAAAAAAAAACCCGTCCCGTCTGCTGCCTGGTCCGCGTGGATTTTTTTCTAGTTATATTTTCTTTGCATAAATTTATTTTGATTTGACTATGTAATTAAGAGGAGCTCGATGGCGCGGGTGGTTAGCGCGTTCGGCTGCGATCGTTGATGTTAAGCAACTATCGCAGTGGTCGGTCATTGGATGGGTGACCAAAAATCTTCTACCTCGAGTTCCTCCGTGCTTCGGAAGGCACGTTAAGCCGTTGGTCGCGGCTGCATCTGCAGTCGTTAGCACCCGCCAATCCGCACTGGGCCCGCGTGGTAGGTCATGGCCCAATCTCCCTATTCCATCCATAGGGAAGGCCTGTGCCCCAGCTGTGGGGACATTTATAGGGTGATAATGATGAATGTAATTAATATAATACTATACTTGCACTAGTAGTTTAAAACGCAATAAATTAAACCAAGACTTAAAAACCCCTTGTATTTTGTATTCTGTCCCGATCCGCAGGCCAAAAAAAAGTCTTACCTTTTTTGACCTCATGTTCCGATTTAAAACAAATCGGACCTGGCAACACTAGCCATAACTCACCACGCGGACCCAGTGCGGATTGATGGGTGCTAACGACTGCAGATGCAGCCGGGACCAACGGCTTAACGTGCCTTCTGAAGCACGGAGGAACTCGAGAAAGAAGATTTTTTGTGAGTTTCGAAAACTTGCGGCATAAACGGCTGTATCTTTTGATTGCTTTGGCTTAGAAGTTTGATTTTTTACAGCTCCAATGGACAGTAGACATGAGTATTAGATATGAATTTAAATTTAATACCTCCACGCGTTCCTGAGAAAAACCTCTTGACAGACGGACGGACGGACGGACGGACAACAAAGTGATCCTATAAGGGTTCCGTTTTTGCCTTTTGAGGTACGGAACCCTAAAAAGCAAAATTGCTAGATATTTCTCTTACTTGGCATTTAAAAATTAAAAAAAATTACCCCCTTTCGGTGACGTAGAGCGTACGTTTTATAGAAGTACAGAAAATTCATAGAGAAATATTTTTATGAAATAAAACTAAGACTATTTTATAAATATTATGTATTTTTTTATAATATTCTTATAAAGAAATCCAATCTTTTAGGTTGTCGGTATTAAATGACAAATAAAAAGCTTTGGCTCATGATTTAATTTAATTTTTTGGTATAAGAAAACCACTTGGTCAGTCCATTGGAAACGCAACTGGTGATACGGCGTATAAAAAGCGTGATGCAGGACGTTCGGATTACAGAGGCACAAGACATACAAGAGCAGTACTCCGACTTCATACTAGCGCCCGAATCGACGCACGCATACAGACAAACATCATTTACACGGCCGCTAACCAATCTCGGCAAGTCAAAACTACGTAGTGCCACATCGCGCGCCGCTGAGACTGGTAGTTGGCCGAGTTAAGTTAGCTGCCCCGCGCCGCTCGCGCCGTCTGCGTCCGTTTCGATTCCGTATCGTGGCAATAGTAACTATACAATACAATACAATACAATACAAAAACTCTTTATTGTACACCACAAAAAAACATTGAACATTAAGTACAAAACCATCTAGTACACGTGATGCAATGGGCGGCCTTATCGCTTAAAGCGATCTCTTCCAGGCAACCTTTGGATGGAGAGGATTAGAAGGAAGTGGGAGAGACGGCGGTGTAAATCGCTGGTAAACTATATAATATATTAGTATATACATACATACACCATACACATATAACATATTATATATATATATATATACATACATACAATAAGTATAAATACAAATACATACATTGATCCAGTCCAGTTAGGAGGCAGTTGTAAGCACATCAGATATTAAAATGTATTACAATGTCAGAAAATAGGAATTCAGACGGTTTTTAAATGTATATGTAATTGTATACACATACAATAAAAATCTACACAAATATGTTTTACATTTTGTAGGTATCTATTTCAAGAAAACGGCTGAGTTACGCTACTGCTCTTGTATGTTTTGTGACAGAGTTATTCGCATTAAAGACGTCCTGCTGTATTTTGATATTCAAAGAAAACTTTCACTGAAACAATATCAGCCTAGTCCGGGATAAAGAAGGTACAAAAACCTATTAATAATTGCGTTTGTTGAATCACTTAAATATTATTTATTAAACTTTATAAAAGTTAGTATACTCTATTCGACTTTCTGCGAGACACAGGTTAAACAAATCTTAAAAAGGATTTTGAAAAGGTCGAATTTTATACGCATTATATGTATTCTATCCGTTACCAGGGCCGTGCCTGGGTATATGGCCGCCTGCGTGCCAGTCTGTATGGCCGCCCCCAGGATAACATTAAAAAAAACTACTTTAATTTTTAATGTTTATTATTATACACAGGGCATCAAACCGGGAAAAAAATCAGTTTTTGGTTAACCGAAATCGAGAACGAAAAAAAATATTGGTTTTGTTCCCAAAACCGGTTTCTGAAAAGAAAAACCGGCTAAAAACCGGTTTTATGAGATTTATATGTTTGGATGAAATTTAAGAAAAAAAAATGCACAAAATAAACATTTTTTTATTTAAAATTTAAACAAAAATAATAACATGAAAAAAATTATGGTATTGGTTTTATAATCACAGACAAAATTATCAAACATAAAGAACAAGGAATAACCCTTAAATCTATACTAACATATTAGGATAACAAAGCTCAGTGGCCAATGGCAGATCTGGGCTGACTTGCAACTTGGGAGGTATATAAAATAGAATTAATTTACTTACTTTAATAATAACATGAAAAAAAGTAATTATGGTATTGGTATTATAATCACAGACAAAATTATCAAACATAAAGAACATAGGAATACGATAATTTAAAATCCTAGGTGTCGCTCAGTGACAATTTAAAATTATTTGATTTTAAAAAATCAAATCTTACGTATTATTTATTGATATTGAAAATAGTAAAGGTTTTTGGTTAATTAACCGGTTTCATAAAATTGTTTCGGTTAGGATACCGGTTAATTAGGGAAATCTTTCAATCTTTCAATTATCGCGATTGAAAGTGAAATTGCTGAATCTTCACGAAGCAATTATTAAATAAAGTACATATTAAAAGTTAATCCTACGGGATTTTTTACTGACAAAATCGTCAATTGCTTCGTGAATATTTAAAGATTCAGCAATTTCACTTTCAATCGCGATAATTGAAAGATTGCTCATACGTTCTTGCGTCATGGAAGTACGTAGGTAATTTTTTATGATTTTCAATTTAGAAAAACTACGTTCTCCAGGCGCAACTGATACAGGCATGGTCAATAATAGTTTTAAGCTTGTAGATACATTTGGAAATGAATTTTGTAAATTGTGTTTGTACAAATACTTTAGGAGTTCTTCGGGTTGTTTCCTATCTTTTATAATTATTTTCAATGAAATTAACTCTTCGTATAATTCTGCTCCGTTTATGTCGCACGATTCGCCATCCTTGAATTTATTATGAAAGTCGAAGCAACTTTTTTTTATGTCGTCCTCTCCTATTTCAACAAATTTATATAAAAATCCGAAAGACTGTTCGAAATTGGATAATGTTTCAAATCGGGTAGTAACAGATGAAATGGCTGTATCCAATATTACATAGAACATTTTGCCCAGTAAACAACTTGTAACGATTTGGCCGCCTCTTAATTTCGGCCGCCTGCGTGCGGTGCACGCAATGAACGCCCGTCAGGCACGGCCCTGTCCGTTACCCTAGCATACCATAATAACTATTAAGTAATCTGTGCTTATGTACTTACTTTGGGGCCAGGCTAAATAGTGTAAGAGTGGGAAATGTTTATTTTACTAATCTTTATATATATAATAATTCTTCTGTGAGTGTGTATGTCACTGAACTTCTCTTAAACGACTGGACCGATTTTGATGAAATTTTTTGTGTGTGTTCAAGGGGATCTGAGAATGGTTCAGATTCACAATTTTGTCCGCTGGACAACCCGTATTTTTTTAGGGCGGTACGAAGTTCGCTGGGTCAGCTAGTTCATTATAAAATTCAAGTTAAATAAAAGTGACCTTGAAAATACCTATAACTGTAGCTGTTCCCAAACTTTGAACGTATTGTAATACTAACAAATTGAAGAGTAGTGATAAAGTAAATAAAATTTACGTTTAAATAAGAAATTTTGTTATAAGTAGAGTTAGTTATCTTTAGTCTCGATAAAAAGTTTTAGAAACACTGGTTTATGTGAGTAGCTTTTGTCTCAGAGGAAGTTGAATAGAGTATAGTTGGGATAAAGAAGATACAAGAAGATAGTATTTTTTTATATATATTCAGAAGTTAAATACACATAAATAATAAGAGCTTACGGGTAAACAGCTACATATTAAGAATCAACAGAAAGGTTGAAACAAACTCATTAAATTAATAAAAATTGGAATAAACTGTCCGTGTGGGCTGTATGAACTCCAAATAGTACTTTGATTTTCTCAACGAGGAATAAAGAAGATAGTAAAAAAACTCACTTATTTTTGAGCAACCAGCAGTTAAATCCATTGATTTTCTAGAAGAAGATTAAAAAAAACAACACTCCCTTATTTTTGGCCAGCATCGGGCAGCAGTCAAATCTTTTGACTTTCTCAAAGATTATTAAAAAAAACTCACTTATTTTTGGCGGCATGCCATCCAGCAACTAGCAGTTGATTCACAACTACATCTACGGGAATGTAGTCATTAATATTCTCCTTGGCTAATGGCAGCCTACGAACAACGCCTGCAAACAAATTAAAGCGTAAATAAAACCGAATATAATAATAAATCATTATATTCAGCCTATTAATGCCCCCACTGCTGGGGCACTGGCCTTCCTTATGGATGAAATAGGGAGATTGGGCCGTGACCCACCACGCGGGCCCAGTGCGGATTGGCGGGTGCTTACGACTGCAGATGCAGCCGGGACCAACGGCTTAACGTGCCTTCCGAAGCACGGAGGGAATCGAGATAAGTTTTTGGTCACCCTTCCAATGACTGACCGTAGCGAAAGTTGTTTAACTTTTACGATTGGGCTCCTCTGGTCATCGTTCATTAATCTCCCTATTCCATCCATAGGGAAAGCTCAAACAGTTGGGACTTTAATAAGATGATGATAAAATTAATCTACTTTTATGAAAGGTCATCATTGTAGGGATGTTAAAAATTATCCCAAGTTTCTCTCTACTTCAGATTGTACAAGTAAAAATTAAGCTGGTCATGCAAATACATTAAAATAGGCTAGAATGAAAAAAAAAAGTTTAATATGAATATTAGCAGCGATTTGACTATTCTGAAAGAACAAATCATTAATGACTTTTCTATAAAATCGTTGAATAAAAACTAAGTTATATGTCTCCACGGTCAAGTGACCGAAAACGCCTGTGATTGGCCAAGACTAAAATGACGTCACACGCTAGTAAACTTCCGGGCAATGACAGTCGTGTGACGTCACACACTACTCCATAATGTCCAGAGAAATGCTTTCACGGCAACTTGAAAACCGAATTTATAATTAAGTTTTTTTAACTGAATTAAGCAACAGAATTAAAAATATCCACTTTTAATGGACTCCATAAACGTTAGTAAATAACGTGAAATCATTATTTAAAAAACTTGTCAAATATCCTATACAAAATATGTAATTAAAGTTTCGTTAATATTGAATGCTCTCACCTTTACCAGCGCCCATAAGGAACCCCTGAGGGCCTACTTTGGAACAGGTCCAACCGGGCACGGGTTCCTTCCACGATCCAACGACTGTCATAGGAAAAAACTTCATTATTATGATGACATTTTTGAAATGAAACTTCTATTCAGAATTGGTGTAAATGGAAAAATGATACGGAAAAGGTGCAGGACGCGGAAACATGCTGTTCGCGAGAACACCTTCTATAGCCCACGAGAACAAGTTGGTTTGGTCGCTGATCCTATCGCTTCTATTGGTAAAATTCAGGCACAGGATTCCCCACTACGAAGTAAACCACTCACCTTGACATCGCCAGTATGAGCTCGTGCTGGAAGCGTTACGTCACGGTAATAATATCATGCAGTATTCTATCTTCATACAAACGGTCGGAAAGCGAGTCATACCTACGCCACTCGAATTCGATGTGCTCTCGGAATATTTTTATATACCTATCTACTAGTACTAAGGAGCTCGATGGCGCAAGTGGCTAGCGCGTTCGGCTGCGATCGTTGAAGTTAAGCAACTTTCGCAGTGGTCGGTCATTGGATGGGTGACCAAAAATTTACTATCTCGAGCTCCTCCGTGCTTCGGAAGGCACGTTAAGCCGTTGGTCCCGGCTGCATTTGCAGTCGTTAGCACCCACCAATCCGCACTGGGCCCGCGTGGTGGGTCATGGCCCAATCTCCCTATTCTATCCATAGGGAAGGCCTGTGCCCCAGCAGTGGGGACATTAATAGGCTGATGATGATGATCTACTAGTACGTAATTTGTTTCTAATATTTAGGTATTTCGCAAAATATCTGGAATAATATATAAATAAGTGGTTAGGATGAAAAAAGAGACAAACGAGTAATCTACCTACACTCGCGTTAAAAACAAAACTACATAAAATACTGTAGGCGGGCGGTCCTACCGCGTGCTAACGCAGCGCTCGGCCGTAGGCATTTATTTTCAAGGACAAGGCGGAGTCACAATACTGTATAGATAATATTACCGTGGTTACGTACCCACGTGGTCACCCACTCAGAGTTCTTATTGTGCACCAATTTCAAACACAGCTGTTCCACCAATACAAATATTTGATATTCGAGACAACTTAAGCAGTTCACTTATAACTTTTAATGATTATCCGATATTCCGAAATATAGTCAAGCAACTCTTGAGTGCGCTCGCGCCGCCGTGAGAGGTAATGCGGCAGTGACAGCAGCTCCCGTTACCGTTGAGTCGTGGATTTGCAGTTTACCCACATAATAAGAAAAGCTATGCCTGAACACATGCATCACGAGCGTTACAGCTCTCACTTCTATATATATATATATATATATATATATATATATATACTAGCTGACCCAGAGAACTTCGTACCACCATAAGGGTCAGGTGGTAGAAGAGAAAATTTAGGGTTGTATGTATTTTTTAATACCACATCATAAAAAAAAATATTGTCCAATAAATTTTAGGGGTGTGTAACGTAATGTTCTATCAATTTCCTGGGATAACATTCCTCCTAACCCATATGAGAACACTACGTTACAATACCCAATAGTTTAAATTCTGGCGCGAAGGCGCATTGTGGGTGTCAAAACACTACGTTACATGTGGACAACCATTATCATTTAAGGATATAAAAAATAGATAGTAGCCGATTCTCAGACCCACGGAATATGCATATAAAATATCATAAGAATCGGTCAGGCCGTTTCGGAGGAGTATAGTAACTAACATTGTGACACGAGAATTTTATATATAAGAGATATATCTATGTGCGCAGCTTTTCTCGACCAGCATGAAAGTTGGAGGGTAACTCGGCGAAGGCTGAAACGCTAAAAGCGTCACTCACAAAAACCGTAAACCTGCCACCATGGCTCACGCACAATGGTCCACTTAAAGGGCTAAGTGCGGAAACATAAAACAAAGAACGGGTCTTTTTGGTTATTGGTGGCACTAAAAGTATATAAAACGCAAAGGTGACTGACTGACATAGTAATTTATCAACGTACAGCCCAAACAACTGGACTGATCAGGCTGGAATCCGCTAAGAATTGATCAAAATCCTTTTGATCAATTCTACCACCAAGGGGATAAAATAGGGAATGAAAGTTTGTATGAAACTATGTCAATTTTAAACCGATCGGGCTGAGACTTTTCATGCAGTTATAAGAAGAACCATAGATGAATGTCATTGTGTATAATACAAGCCTGAGAACAAAACTGTAGTCTACACTTCAGCTCTACACCGAAGCGAAGCGAGGGCGGGCCGCTAGTTATCTATATAAATCTGTGGTCTATGTTAACTTACTCATTGTAGGTCTGACGATAGTACATGGGAACAAGTCAGAACATTTCACAACTTCATGTTCCGCTAAGTGTTTCGTGAATGTGTAAGTGTTGGGATGCGACTTCAGCACCCTGCAATGAATAAAAGTGTTATTATAATATATTCAATAATAAAATTAACTAACAGCCAACCTATTTAAGTCCCAGTAAATATATGGGTGGAATAGGGAGATTGATGAAAGATGTCCCGAGGAGCTGGATGGTGCAGGTGGTAGCACATTCGGCTTGCAATCGTAAAAGTTAAGCAACTTTCGCAACGGTCAGACATTGGATGGGTGACCAAATACTTATTATCTCGAGCTCCCGTTAGCCGTTGGTCCCGGCTGCATCTGCAGTTGTTAGGACCCACCAATCTGTACTGTGCCCCCATGGTGGGTCATAGCCCAATCTCCCTATTCCATTTGGTCGGTTAATTGTTTGAATGCATCTCCCTTTTGTTTCCTTATTCTCAGGTTATAAATTTTTGCAATAATTTAAACTCACTTAGGTTCAATTTCGTCCAAAGCCTCATCAGACAGAGTACCAACTAAGGAAATAACTTTCTCAGCATCTTCTGGGGCTTCGTATACCTTCTCGTGGGCCTCTAACAAGTAAGAATTGACATAGCCTGAAGACACATGGATCATTACCTGAAAATAAGTGTAATAATATTTAATATTCTAGCAGCCAATCAACCATTCTGGTCAAAGTTGAAAAAGAATGGAATACAACTCCAAAATGTTTTAGGAAGTCAAATAACACCATCATAAGGTTTCTGTAATCTAAAAAAGGGTGGGAAAAATCAAAACACCTTGGACTGATTTTATTCACATTGTCGTCTCATTCAAAATGCGTTAAAAAAGTACCAAAGAATTTCATTGTGAATGATGAAAGGTATATATAATACCCTTTACATAAAAATTTTTGGACAAATATAATTTCATTTTATTTATTAACAAATAATTAGCTTGCACGAATCTTACAAGTCAATGCTTATATAATAATTATACTACAAATATTATATTTAAATGTGAAAGTTTCTGTTTGTTAATCAATCACTCAAAAACAACTGAACGGATTGGGATGAAATTTGGTACGCATATAGTTTATGATCTGGACTGAGACAAAGGATACTTTTTTTCTCTGAAAAACATTAAGTTCCTGTGGGATTCTCAAAAACTTAAGTTAATGCAGACAAAGTCGCAGGCAACCTGTAGTGCTAGGTTTATTCTAATATAATGGCTCTGATATCATTAAATATTAAAGTACCTTCAAATTTTTTATTTCCTTGCAAAGCTCCATGATTTTTCTGGTACCAAGTAAATTAATCTTCACAGTCGGCCTCAAATTGTCTTGGAAGTCTAATGTAGCAGCGGAGTGCACCACCACGTTGACATTATCAATAAGCATCTGCCTATCTTCAGAACTGAGACCGAGATTATCATCACCGACATCCCCAGCAACGGGGACCAGCTTATGGAATATGTCTATAGTCTTTAATTCTATTAGTTTCTCAAATACCTGTAACATGAATACACAATATAAATAAATAAATTTCAAGCATACTTTTAGCAATAAGATCTTGGTGTAGGTTATTTTGATAGTTGCTTTCTACATATTACATTTAGCAACAATTGAAGTGAGATACAATGCTTAGCTATTTTAAATACATTTAAAAATTTAAACAATACCGAGTACCATCTCTGTCATGCAAAGAGATGGCACTGTTTTGCAGCTGAAGTAAGGCTAGATATTATTCGATACGGACTTCAGGGCCGCGGTAACATAATGGTCAGTGCATTCACCCGGATATTGAAGGGTGCGGGTCCTGCCTGGTCCGCATGGAATTTTTTCTAGTAATATTTTCTTAAAAAATAAAAATTATAACTTGAACAATATCAATTTGACTATATTGATGATATTTGAAACAAATTGCAAGCAATTGACCTACTTAGGAAGAAAAATCTTGTCTTTTCTGACATATATCTTAAATGGATTTTGCTAAAAAAGTACATACCGGGTGTTTTGGGAATTCATCCAGCCTCTCCACGATTTCTTTCCCTTTCTTGGGTCTCATAAGCAAATACAGCTTGCCAACATCTGGGATCGTCCTCAATATCTTCTCGATCAGACATAGCCCGACGAACCCCGTGCCGCCGGTTATGAAGAAATTCTTGCCCGAGTAAAAGGCGCGCACCTCCGATTCCTCAGGCATTTCTATCAGATAATATTTTCTGAAAATCCAAAGAAAAGAAATATTATGATGAACAACTGTGCCGCCGCTGCTGCTGAAGAACCAAAGAGTAACATAAAGTCTAAGGGAATGAAGAACTAAAATGTCAAAATCAATGTCAGTCGGCATTGTCAACGTCATCCACTATTTTAACGTTTGGTACCTTTTCGTTTAGAAACGTTTTGCCGTTAAATCAAGAATTTTGCACATGAATGAACAATGGACGAAGGATTTTGTCATGAAAAGGTTATGCATGATAAAATTGAACGTTGAACTCTTTCGTTTCGATTTATACAAGCTCACATTAAACTTTAAAGAATTTGACAAAACAAAAAAGTTTCATTAAAACAAAGACATAGGTAGGTATTGGCGTCGATTCTGGCATGATTCTCTAAACTTAAAACTAAGTACCAACGGCTGATCGTGATCGTGATCGTCGATCGCTGACTTTCCGAAGCGCGGAGGAGCTCGAGAGCTCGAGATAATAAATTTTTGATCAACCATCCAATGACCGACCACACAGAAAGTTGCTTATCTTCAACGATCGCAGCCGAACGCGCTTACCCCTTGCGCCATAGAGCTCCTCTTCTGATTTAAGTATGCAAGTGATTTATTCTATTAAGTAACTATAAAGAATTTAGTTTTTTGCTTACTATTTTTAAACAAGCCCACCTGAAGCTGACGTTTAGAACAAATAAATTAATTTGCGCGGCACCAAGGCCAGCCAAAGTCTTATCAAATGGTCACCTTATGACGTAACTGTCTCATAAATACTGTACGTTTCTGTTTTATCCTGGCCATTGTTTTTTTTTAAATTCACGTGAACATTAGATCTCTCTAAGAGCTACGTTTTTTAAATGCAACGTTGATGCGCGTTTGTGGCGATATGGTAGTTACAAAGACCTATGTATGTAAAATACTTAGCTCTGACGTCAGCTGTAGTAATGAGGACTTTTATTTGAATAACCATGACCATGATTCAACAGGGTCACCTTAGTTATTTTAAAATATACAGTAGGTAGGTATTATAAATTTATAATGAGGAGCATTACTAGGTCAGCAAATCAACTCAAATTCAACAGTATAATGATCTAATTAGCTTTTTAATTAATATACTTTTTAAATCATCGAAATCGGTTCATTCGTTGCGATTTTATAACTAATTTTATGGTAGCCAATATTCACCGGCGGCCGAAACGTGTGTGTGACGCCACAGGGCTCGATCACTCAATTTCACTCCAGTCGAACTTCAGTAGCGTCTCTGCGCACGCTCGCCACCGACCACTAGAACTCTGTGACGTCACAGCCACCACGCAGCCAGCCGAAAATTCGTTTAGTAATGTAGTCATAACTTCGTCAATATTTGTCGTAGAAAAAAATTTAACAACTGTATTTTATGGAATCCTTAGCTCTATAAATCTGTATTCTTAACTAAAATCGTAACGGATCAAATACATGAGTGTGGGGTATCTATCTATGGGTAGGTCTTCAAAAATGATGTAGAGTAGAGGTTTATAATATTTATTTCTAAACTGAAATGTTTACGCGAGGGACACATACAAAGTGGTAAAATGTGTGTAACCCCCTGTAACTTTTTAAATAAGGGAATGATAAAATAAAAAAAAATATATGATGTTGATTACAATGCAAACTTCCGCGAAAAGTTGATAAAAAAGCGATAGTTGGGCATCAGGCTTTAATGCTTAGTTCTCAGCTTTGTTAAAAGAGGGAAGTCTGCATTACTCTCTAATTGTTATTTTAGTTGAAAGAGTATGTTCGAGTTATTTTTACTTTAATACTATAATGTAACTATAACACAATTTAATAGTAAATGCGAAGCTTGTTTGTTATGCTGCAATTACATTTGGTCGTTAACCCGTATTTGGGTGCACGAAAGACATTACTCTATTTCGGGCACACGAAGTGTAGGAATGCCAAAGTATCTGGTATATATGGAGAATTAGCCTCCGAATTTTTCTTGCACGATTTAGCCTTCCATACGTATTGATCGCAACGCCGGTAGCGCCATCTCTTGAGGAGGTGAGTGACTATTTCCTCCATGTTGTGGGGCATGTAGATGTAGCCGCTACACGAAGCAATAATTACGCTAGAATACGAGCTGGAAAACGGTGTCGGGTAAACAAAATAAACTTATATAGGTATCAGTAATAAAATAATTTGCAACACTCACACCAATTAGCCTAGTCCCAAAGTAAGAATTGTAAAGCTTGTGTTATGGGATACTAGGGGTAAAGGATAGAATACATATAGGTACTGTACAGATGTAAGTATATTTGCATATTAAATACATATTAAACATCCGTGACTGCGGAATACAATTCTCGTATTCATCACACAAACATCTGCCCCCACCGGGATTTGAACCCGGGACCTCTCGAGTCGGCGACAGCCATGGAACCCGGCGTACAAACCATTTGGCCAAGGGGGTCGTCGTATATGTATTCTCTTCGTTACCAGTGTGTGTGTTGAAAACATTATTATTGATGAGCCATTATTATTGGGCCTTCTATCCAAAAATAAACACAATAAAGAAGAAGGTTGGTTGGTCAACAATATTTTTACGAAGTAGGTAAAGGTGACCGACAAATCCAGTTCATTATGTTGGACATTTCGGTAGGTACCTAAAATACTGGTTTTACAAAAGTAAGCTACTTTGTAATTATAGTGGACTTTATGACTTAAAACCTTGAATATTTTTGACGTGACAACGTCTTAAATTAGGTTGCGGCTGGGAGTCACTTATGAAAAAGTGTAACGCTCGGTAACGTTACGATGAGTCTCTCGTGTTAAGTTTAAGTTTACATGTACAATGTTTTAGTAAACAAAATATATTTCTATAGTTAAAATTTGTGCAATTCTTATTTTCATTCAATTCCTTGTTCCTATTGTGCAATTTAATTATATTCATATCAATAAATATTCTACCGAGAAAAAGACGTTGTCACGTAAAATCTTCGCCCGTAAAACCGACTTTACAGGCAACCATTTTTTGAAGTGAAAACTTCTTTAGCGGCGTTGTACACTTTTTTTTGTATGGGTAAAAAATATTAAACTCTCGTTAGGTTAAATACGTGGGCTGATTGCATCATGACACACAATGAAATTGGAAAGGTTGTTGACTTTCAATATATTGGGCGAAACATAGTAATATTTTATTTTACCGTATTATAATAATAAGTCTCTATCTAGGACGTCCACGTGGCAGCTTTATTGCGAAGAAAATGCGCTTAAATGTGATTCATGTAAGTTCATTTCTTTACAATAGATGTCGCTAAGTGCGCTTAAACGTGATTCGTGTAAGTTGATTTTTCTGAGATAACCTTTTTAATGTAATATAAATTGTCATGTTTGTGTGTGATAGTGCAATAAATAAATATTGTATTCTAACACATACATGATAGTAGTCTTATACTGATAATTAAAGCAATTCGTGCAAAATTATTCACTAACCATTCCAAAATATCAAAAATGCACAACGTTAATATTCAAGTTTGGGGCCGTCCATAAATTACGTCATCGGTTTTTTCAGATTTTAGACCCCCCCCCCCCTCCCTACAATCATCCTATCGTCATTTCTTAATGACCCCCCCCTTCTCCCAAAATTGACGTCATTACCAGTTTGACAAAATTAAAACATTGCAGTAATTAGAAATTAAAACACTTGGTTATAGAATCACCTTTTATTATTTTTACTTTGGCAAAAATCATTGATATAATATAATATAAAAGTAAAAAATAGGGAATAATAATATTATATATTATTATTTAAAAATAGGGAATAATAATATTATATATTATTATTCCCTATTTTATACTTTTCTTTGGATAACTCCCACGGAGTTTTCACCCATTCTGTTAAATTCTGGATCACGGGTAATATCTCCGTATCCTCCCGATATTCGTTTTGGCTCGATTCATCCACGTCTTCAACCCACTCAACGTCGAGTGCCTGTCCTGTTACGTATAGTATTTATGTACTTTTATTAATTATGTAATGTTGTAGTTATTATTTAAGGATTGTGTTTATTATCAATACATAGTATAAAACAAAGTCGCTTTCGCTGTCTGTCCCTATGTATGCTTAGATCTTCAAAACTACGCAACGGATTTTGATGCGGTTTTTTTTAATAGATAGAGTGATTCTTAAGGAAGGTTTATATGTATAATACATGTAAGTACCACGGGCGAAGCCGGGGCGGGCAGCTAGTATTATATGTAATATTATTGTTAGAGTATTTTATCTGTAGTTATTACTGTATTTGTGTACATCTATGTTGCATTATGTATGTTTATTATGAGTTATTTTAGTATTGTACGCGCCTTAGCCGCCTCTCACATTTGCAGTCTCACTTACTAGGTGTGCTGGTACTGCAATCCGGAAAAACGGATCCGGTAATAAGGCGGATCCGGCATCATTTGACGTTTACCGGATCCGGTACCAATATACCGGATCCGAAGACCGGATCCGGTGCTACAATAAAGCCGACAAGTGAAAGGGCCTTTTCGGTCGCAGGCTATAAAATGCAGCTCTATTAGAAGTCGTTTAGCTGATGACGCAATTAACAATATTAAATATTTGTTTTCTACAATCTTTTTTTCAAAATCAATATTGATTTTTTTTAAATATTTTTTTTATTTTCTTACAATTATTAAGTAATTAAAAGAATTATTTATCGTAAGTTGATTAAGCTAAAGAGTTCTCAATTCATTATTGTGATAATTTTTGCCATTCATTCGTTCGTCAAATTCATCAAATCATGGTGGTATCTGTCTTAAATACCTATAAGACTTGTTTCTTTGCATTCTTAAATACTTTAATAATGATTTAGATCTCATTTCAGTTAATTACGTAAGGTTAATTGTATCTGTTAGATATTATAGTTACTTCATAATTAATATTGTTACTCATAAATTGATCTATCTGTGAAAGTGAATCTAGAAAGACTGAGCTACTCGTTACGCCGTAAAATTATTACTAAT